AACATTTTTTTAAACACAACTAAGCATATATGGTAGCTCCTAAACCACTACACTATAATAGAGCGGTTATGATAAGACACTATGTAGAGCGGATATGTAATGCTTTGTAGGAAATTTTTCATCGCAAGTCCAGACTTTGACATCAGGTTTCCTGTAGGTGTGCCCATAATGCAGTACGTCAATTCCATTAATCCGCATTGAGACACGCTTGAATCCATAAAAATACTATGAATTTGTTAGGTATTAGGTTTTCCGTTCAGCTTGAGTACTGTGAAATGTGGGAATCCTATATAGGAATTATGTTAATAAGTGGCAGTTGTAATACCGTCACATAGTTAGGGTCGCACGAGTCGAGTAGGCAGCGTTAGTGCTGTAACTAACATGTCCGCTATTTAACGTGAATTCTCAATAGTTTTACATTATTCATGTTAACCTGCCACCATGTTCACTTGACCTTTTAATGTGTGTTTCTTATCATGTTTCAAAGGAGTTGTATGGGGTGAATATGGGGTTTTGTCACTTTTGACTGTAAAATCATCAAAACTCCTTAGGGTTTTATGGATGATAAACTTATTCAAACAAATTAGTATTTCATGTCTATTGTCTATTGAAGGGTTGTAGAAAAAATGGTAAAATATCCTTGCTGCAGCAAACCTGCATTCTGTACTAAGCGAATTTCCATTTGCCTGAATTTATTTTAAATGAAATCTATTTAAATAACAATAGGTTTAACGAGTACCTAGGTTTAACGAGTACCTAGGTTTGCTGCTAAAGTGAGGCTAATCAAGTGTGTTTTTAGTCAAATTTTAGTAGCTAAGTGTAAAATAAATAAATGTTCCAAGTTTGACCAAATTATTTTCATAAACAAGTAAACTACCACATTTTACAATATTCTCCATAAGAATAACATGGGAATTTTAAAATTGCAATTTTTGGAATTTTCTCCATAACCAATAATCGTACAAAAACACTTTGGTATACTAAATTATTTGTTTTTTAAGCTCTTTAAAATGGTCTAGAGTGAAATTAGGAAACTTTGTGATTTGAGGGTAAAAATTTTGAAAAACTTATTTTTACCATTAAACCGGCACGGGGGTAAAACCCTGATCCGATGATGCTGGTTTGCAAAATCATTGAAGTTTATCCCCCCTTACACCTTCAAATAAAATAATATCCAAATCGGTCAAAAATTACTTAATTTTATTACGTTCACGGGTGTATGTATATACAGGGTGATCAACTCAAGGAGGCCACCATTGGGATATCGGAAACGGTAAGAATTAGAGAAAACATTAAAAGGGGGACATTCCTTAATTTTTTGTGGCAGTTAAAAATATGATTTTAGTTTTTCAAAATTCAGTCGCCATTTTCCAAAATGGCGGCTAACTTTGAAATTTCTTATAGAACACCCTGTATTTTATCTTGTTTTCGGATAGAACATGCAATTTAAAAACTTTTTTATTTTATTAAGACCATAAAATACACAGTTTTCCACTTTTCAAGTTTGCCGCCATTTTGGAAAATGGCCGCCATTTTTAAATAATAGAATTAATATTTTTAACGAATTTTATGGACTTTTTGGAATGTGGATGCAATTTTAAGACTTATTTGACTTATTTTCTCTTTCCATTTTCGCTATAAACCTACTTTTTTTGGAGCTACATGATGTAAAATGTACACCGGAAGTCATTTTTCCATAGGCTGTAACTCCTAAAAGAGTGGGTTTATCGAAAAAATTTCAAGAATAACAAAATTTGTAAATTGCATGTTCTATCCGAAAACATGATAAAATATGGGGTGTTCCGTAAGAAATTTCAAAGTTGGCCGCCATTTTAGAAAATGGCGGCTGAATTTCAAAAAAATGAAATCATATTTTTAACTGCCACAAAAAATAAAGGAATGTCCCCCATTTAAAGTTTTCTCTAATTCTTACCGTTTCCGATATCCCAATGGTGGCCTCCTTGAGTTGATCACCCTGTATATTTATATATATTTGAACCAATAGTTTTTTTGGCCCCTGAGGACAACAAAGGAAAAGTATATCGGTCCCAGCTCCAGGTCTTACTGTGCCACCTACACTTTTCTACACACTTTTAGCTACACTAGCTACACTTTTCTATAGGGAAATTCGCTAAAAGGGGTTCACATGTTATTTTAATGCAACAACACTTATTACTCTACAGTATACTCCCTCTTATCCGGACACCTTTAACCGGACATCGGTTCAACTGTACTACACTTGGTAGAAGTGACATATCTTTATCCGGATAATTTTTATTAGCACATCGGTTTGACCGGACTAGTTCGGCAGGAAGTGGGCGGTACTGAAACGATTGTTCTTATGAGAATGATTTGAGACCAGTGATTACCAGTCTAAATACATTGCTCTCCTCATTTTAAGTCAAATACTGTTTAGAGTATGCATTCAAACGGTCCGTTTTAACGAGATTTTGGGGACATCGGTTTAACCAGAAAAACCGTTATCCGGGCTGGTCTCGGTCCTGAGGGTATGGATAAGAGGGAGTCTACTGTACTTAGGATGAAACTGGGTATACAAAAGTAAATACATATCCAATGATGAGTTTCGAAAAGCATCATGGACAAAGCATCATCCTATGGGGTAAATATGAATTTTTGTAACTATACACTCTGAAAACCTTAAGATTCCTTGCTTGGGTTTAGTGGATGAGTTCAAAAGAGCTTTAAAAACAAAGTAGTATATTGTGTCTTTCCCAGATGAAGGGTTACGGTGGTAGTATATAGGAAAAAATAGTGTCCCATGAAATTTATAATGACTATGGTTGATAAAACCCCACTTTTGATATGATTGTATATAAGAGAGTAAACGCATATCTAATATAATTGATTTACACAAAGCATCCTAGCTGGACCATGAGAATATCCTTTCACAGGGGGTTGTTTGAGATTTAACTTCAAAATCCAATGGGTTTAGTGGATGTGTTAAAAAGAGTTTTAAAAACAAACAAAGTAATATATTGTGTCTTTTATTCCTCGATGCTATGGGTAAAATTATCATCCTGGGATGAAATCAAAAGCTGCTAAACTGTTGATGAAACTCCACTTTTGATATGACTTAATGTAAGAGAGTGAAGACTTTTCTAGCATGAAAAGCGAAAGCTTCCTAGCCATATGATGAGAACGAGAACAGGATTTCTTATAGGGTTATGGGTTATGGGGCAAATATATTTTATTGTTTTATTTTTTACTTTGAAAACTTCCAAATTCCACATTCTAACTGAAGTTTTTTTTAAAGCTAAAAAAACAATTACTATTGTCAGATCTATTATTGTTGTGCTTTTTTTTCAATTTATACTCACTCTATCATAATATTATTGTTTGATAAAGGGTTACCATACAGAGAAAATTTCCAATACAGATTCCGATGTAGTTCTAATGCGACTAAGGTAAATCTCCGCTATTAATGTAATTTGGTTGAATACAATAAACACTCATCAGGTTGAGTTTTACTAACTGTCTTGATTAGATCATGTGAACTGGCTTTTATGGGGCGAATATGATTTCTTTCTAAATTAACTTGAAGACAACAACAAAAAATTAGATATTTTCTGATCTCTATTTTAATTAATGACATAAAGAGAGTTGTCAAAACCCCTTTTCTTTAGTTTGCTGATAATGATGTTCTCAGCTAAGTTTTGTCCCAAGTACAAAGATAATATGATGTCAATCCCACCAAAAATAAGTTGATACATTTTAGCATAAAACAAAATTCTCTGGATACTGAATATTTCCTATATAGCAGCCTGTTCTGGACGTCTAACCAACAGAGGCCATGGTGTTTTGTTGACTTTTCATTTGAGTTATGACCATACACATTCACCACATCTGCACAAAGGCCTCAGGCATGCGAAATGATCTCCTGCTCTGCAAGACACTGTTTGAGCATTGAGCATGCATGCCTGCTCGATCCAGTGTAGTCGTTTGTGCGCCAACCTAGAGTACTACGGTGGAGTCTGGTCGCCTTACTAACCAGCTCAGCCTTATTAACTAGGCTACCTTCGTTTCGTCCACACATGGGAAGAATGAGCGTGCACCTAGTTTTGTTATTTTTCTGCAAGTTTTATCTGTTTTTCATCAAGATTGTTCTGCCTCTTTTACTAAAGTTCACTCGGCTTACTGGATTGCTATCATTATTGTTCCTATACTGGTTTTGTTTTTCGAATCTCTTGTTTTGTCAACTTGTTCAGATAGTTTGTTATTTATAGTTGTTACTTATAGTTTGTTATTTATAGTTGTTACTTATAGTTTGTTATTTATAGTTGTTACTTATAGTTTGTTATTCATAGTCTGTTATTTATAGTTAAAGTTTGTTATTTATAGTTGTTATTTATCTTTTATGTCTTGTTATTAAAGTCTTGTTTTCCAGTTTTTTTCACTACTTTTGTACTGGCCTGTTTTTTTTTTATGTGTTTCCTCTGCTTCTTCTTTCTGTAAGACAATTGTATTTTTCTTGTAAAAATGGTGCAACCGTTTATAAATAAATAAATAAATAAACATAATACGACTCACTCCCACACACGGGTCATCCGATGTGGGATTAATTTTGTTTTTTTTAGCTATACATCATAGAACTTATTTTTATTGTATACATTATATTTTGTAAAAATTGTCTATTTAATACGAAATAAAGGAAATTTTGATTTTGATGCCATCGACCTCGGTGGTATAGTTGGATAGAGTGCCAGGCTGATAAACTGAAGGAGCCGGGTTCGAATCGCACCGGTGGCACTATTTTTTTTGTCTTGGATTTTTTCATTATCAGCACGTTTGGTTGGTTTGGTTAGGTTATGACAGTTTAATTTCATAATAAAAATTATAAAATTGAATTTGGGGCATTTATAGTTTTATTTTATAAACAGAACTTTTTTTTTATTAAACCTTCATTGGATTTTTAGAGTTATTTTTAGAGGTAGGCCTATTTTTAGAGTGTCAAAGTGTTTTCATAAACTTGGTTTTTCTAGGATAACAAAATAGGAAGAATGGAACTTCAGCATCCAGTGGTATGTCACATTTTAATTTTTATTCTATTAACGATATTTGTACAATTTTAGGTATATATATGCTAACTTGGACTGTGGCTTTTAGCGAATTTCCCATATAGGGAATAAGCTATTACCGTAGGGCTTATGGTAAGACCTGGACCTAGGACCGATTTACTTTTTTGTTTTGAGGTCCCCAGAGACCAAAAACACCATCCGTTCATATTCATATATATTTATATATGTGTCCGTTAGCACAATAACTCAAACAAAAATTATTTGATTTTGATGAAATTTGGTATAAACGTGTAAAACTACCTTTATTCTAACGAGTTTGCGAACCAGCATGATCAGACCATGGGAACGGGGGTTATGGGCGGTTTTATGGGATAAAAATGGGGTTTTCCCATTTTTGACCCTAAAAACATAAAATTTTAGAATTTCTTTCCCAACCATTTTGTAGAGCTTAAGAAAAGAAATAATTTAGTATATTGAAGCATTGTTGTATGCCTAATGGTTACGGAGAAAATTCAAAAAAGTGTAAATTTAAAATTCCCATGTTATTCTTATGGAATAAATGAAAACTGTTGTAATTTACTTATGGATAAAATCTTGTTGATAAAATCTTGCAAATTTATTTATTTCATCATACTATTGACGTTTAATCAAAAAACACTTTTTACCTTCCCCGTAGCAGCAAACCTAAGCACTCGTTAAATCTAATCTATATATTAATTTGAAACTGTTTTTCTTTGTGACAGCTAATTTGAGAGAACGGCTGGGTGTAGAAACTCGGTAGAGGTGTCTAAAGAAAGGTCTTGGTCTGTAGATGAGCCATCAAAAGAGAAACGTGGTAAATTTCCTTGGGGCTCTGCCCCAGTGGCCTTTGAATTCCCATCCCATGTTATTCTAATGGAGGAAAAACTGGGTTTTTGTCCCAGCTAATTTGAGAGAACGGCTGGGCGTAGAAACTTGGTAGGGGTCTCTAAATAAAGGTCTTGGTCTATAGATGAGCCATCAAAAGAGGAACGAGGTAAATTCCCTTGGGGCTCTGCCCCAGAAGCCTTTAAAGTTGACTCTTCAAATTTGTTTACCATATGCATAATTCTACACTACTTTTTAATGAAACAGCTGTTAATATTTAAATTGTGATTTATTGAATTTGTCAAAATGAAGTACAGTATTTGCAATGGGTGTTTCTGATTTAAAAATGGATTTTCTTCTGCATCGTGTCATGTTTTGAAATATAATGTTCTACTAAACAGTGGAAAATCCTAATATCACGATAACTCTTAAAATTATTTCTTTTGGAGTTAACTTATATCTACTGTATATATTGGTTTCTGCTTTTTTTACCACTTCTTGGAGATTGTACGTAGGTGATATTTGTTGGCATATTGCATCTATAGACGAAACTTGGGTTGTGGAAAAGAGCGAGAAATCCTGGACAATTTGATATAGGCTAGAAATAAAACTGAATTAACAGTTTTACATTTCTTGAGTAATCATTGAAATAACCGATTTGCAAACAATGGAAACATAGAAAAAGTCATAGAACACAACCAAGTAGAAGAAATAGAAATAATGTTTTTTTTTTTCATTTATAATCGTTATCATAGACAACCTAATGCGGCTATAAGAGGGAAACATTTGTAGAAAACACTAAAAAACAAGATTAGCTTTTTGAAAAAAGATGAGATATTTATAAAAGATTTTGATTATATCTAACTGTTGTGTTGATTGTGAGTATTTCCATAATATTTGAGTCGCCTGTAATGCTTCGCAATGGCTCGAATTCGAGCAACAGGTACACTAGTCTATATATTAATTTGAAACTGTTTTTCTTTGTGACAGCTAATTTGAGAGAACGGCTGGGCGTAGAAACTCGGTAGAGGTGTCTAAAGGAAGGTCTTAGTCTGTAGATGAGCCATCAAAAGAGAAACGTGGTAAATTCCCTTCGGGCTCTGCCCCAGTGGCCTTTAAAATTCTTTTCCCATGTTATTCTTATGGAGGAACAAAACGGGGTTTTTGTCACAGCTAATTTGAGAGAACGGCTGGGCGTAGAAACTTGGTAGGGGTGTCCTAAGAATGGTCTTGGTCCGTAGATGAGCCACCAAAAGAGAAACTAGGTAAATTCCCTTGGGGCTCCGCATCAGAGGCTTTTTAAGTTCCCTCAGCAGATTTGTTTACATTACGGCCATATGGTTAATTTTACACTACTTTTAATGAACCAGCTATTATGAGCATTTACTGAATCTGTCAAAATGAAATTTTTACATTATTATTTATGTTTTTAAAATATATTTTCCCCTGCATGGCAAGTTTTTTATAGTTTTAATAAAATGGTGAATTTATTATAGGTAGGTTTCAATTTTTTTTCAAAAATATATGTTTTAATGCACTTATAAAATGTTGTATTATGAAATAACTGGGACATATCAATTTCAAAGGAACAGATAATTATTCCTTATCGGGTTAGCTTATATTTATTGTAGGGGTTGGTGCTTGCCTTTTTTGGTCTACTTTCAATAACCATTTATCATTACATTCAAGAAAGAACATCAGAGGTTTGTGAGACAATTAGCATAAAAGTTTTCGATAATCAGGTAGAAAACTGTGTCAAAGAATAAAAGCCTATAAGTGTAGATGAGTACGTTGAGGATGTGAGCTGTGTTCAAGTTTTTACCACGGAGTATGTTTAATCTATGGTTTTGGTGAAGTAGGTAAATTGAAGGCAATTCAGGTATTAATTAAACAAAACAGTGCCATAACATCTCATCTCTTTTGCATAATTTGTTGCCAACAAAGCCGGACTAGGTTATGGATGTGGTTCCGCAAATGTTCAAGATTTGTGTCCAAATTCACTACAATTATGGCCCATTCCATCCACAAAATACGTGCACAACTTTATGTGATCCATATGGCCAAGGAAATTTACCCTCGCATATCAATAAAGTTCAAGTTTGACAGCAACCTCATGGCACGATTTCACAAAACTACGCCAGAAGTTAATCAATTTAGCGAATAAGTACATTTAGATTAAATACATTAGTCGATGTGGTAAGAGATAAGGAATCAAATTTGTTTGGACCCCCCATCGAAGTAAGAATGTTACTGTTTTTTGGAGAATCAGATATTTTTATCAAATAAAAAAAAAGATTTAATATGCCTCCCGCCGATAAAATTCTGTATTTTTATGACCAAAGAGTGTGATTCACTTATACAATCCAAATACAATCTGAATGATTTTCCTAAAGCAGATGAAACCAGTTATTTTAGTAATATTGACTCTTTCCGTCAGATGACAGACCAAATGAACTCCTTTCCCCATATAGTGAAAGAGGTTTTAACATGAACAAAAGTCATGAACAAGAAACAATTGTAAGACTCTTGAAAAGCCTTTTGGGTAACCTAAAACCGATGAAAGGACGGAAAATATTGATTCCAACGATTTCATTAACAACGTTTTTTAAAGTACACAATCCTCTTACTCATAATTATGTTCATCCTCCCTTCATTTTACTAAGATTTTAATAACTTCACTCTATCCATCGCAGTTAGCTGAATTTACCTAAAAACTCAAGAGTAACCGTCGATTTCGACGGGATTCACCTAGTGTTATTTAAATTGGGAATAAATTATGTCTTATTTATGGAAATATTTGAGTAAAAATGTAATCAGACAAGTTGAAATTTGCTTAGTCTGCAGGTTTTCTGCGGCGGGGTATTTCATGTTACAGTGGTCCAGGGTCACAGCTTGGGGGGAGGTCGTTTGCCCCGGGCGGCAATTTTGAGGTTAGGCTGCTATGTAATTTGTTTTAACCTTACTGTACAACAAAATTTCTTTTGCATACCGTATTAAAGTGGTCCAGCTAATACAATGGAAAGTGCTCCTAAGAAAATATTTATATGAAGGTGAAGTTTAAGGATGGGAGCGGCGGACATGACTGCTCAAGGTCAAAGTTATTTGTAGAGAGTTGAGTACCGCCACCCGCGCCATCCTATACTACCCCTGATCCCCTCTCCGCTCCTTGTTGACACCTATTTTTTTACATATAGTTTTTTAAAATTAATTTTATTGTTATCTGAAATGCTCGACGTTCCTAAACAACCATTAGCACAGACGGATGTAGAAATTTGTTGAGGAAGGGGCGTACTTATATTTTAAATTATTTCCATGTATCATCAACAAAATAGTAATGAACTTAAGGTTGGGTGCCCTTTATCCCTTTCTAGGCGCCAGTTTGTTCTGCGCTGTATATGCCTTCCTTTCATCCACTTTCTTCCTGGCTTCATTAGGTTCTGCCCTGTTCTAAAAAGCGTAGGTACCAGCGGGTTCCTGTCCCAATCAGCAACATTCTATGAGGATCATCCTTTTCACCAGGTTCTCCTGGTTTCGGGTGATTCTTAAAAGGTCGGGGCATTTAACCTCCCCTTCCATGACTTGTGGTACTAGCCCGCCTTCCTGCGAGAAGGTAGGGATCTGAAGTCAACCTGAACAGAGCCCTGCATGCCCAGGCAAGGTTGCTTACTGCAGGAGGGTGCCTGGTATCCTGCATGTACCATTCAGATACCATACAAAAGAGGCCTGGTGCCATCTACCCCTCAGCATGGTCCGTCTAACACCTTGGGTTGGCCTAAAACAGAAGAAAGAAAAAGAGGGGGCAGTAGTAGGGAGAATAACAGAGCAGAGACAGAAAGATAAAGACAGTTAGTCCATGCTTGGGAAGAAGAAGAAAAACATGGTGTGAAAGGACAGACCCTGCTCAGTTGAAGAGTAGGGAGTCAGGGAGGCTGATTGCAATGGCTAGCCACTGGGCGATTGGATCGCCAACCCCTACACCAATAAATGGCGATAACAATGTCTTCCTGATGGCGGGAGATGTTGAAGATTTATCCGTGATCGTGGGTGATGATAATCATGTCACCGTGATTGTGGGATATTTTCAAGATTTCACGGTGATTTCATAAGTTGTGCATTTAAGAGAGGCTTGTAAATGTTTTAGAGGAAGTGAGGAAATCAAATGGTAAGAAACGCAATACAGTAACTTGCTATACAGGGCCGGATTCAGCATTTTGGCGCTCCTAGGCTCAAATAATTTTCCACCCCCTTGTCTTGTCACAGTTACTTTCCTTCAAACCTTTATTAAAAACTATATAGCCTAATGCCTTTAGGCCTATGGTAGGGCCTAATTGCTTGAATATCACTCCAATTGAATGTTATTATTGCAAGATTTTTGAAGAATTTACTTGTTTAGCATCAACAAAATGTCATTTTAAACACTTTTAGCAATTTTATGCTTTTAGTGAATTTACCTATAGGGAAGTAGCTATTACCGTAGGTGGCATGGTAAGACCTAGGCCCCGGTCATTTTGATGTTCCCAGAGGCCAAAAACAACATTCGTTCAAATTTTTATACATAAAAACATATAATTAATACTAATATTAAATATTAATATTAATATAAAAAAACAAATAATTTAGTATATCAAAGTGTTTTTGTACAATTATTGGTTACGGAGAAAATTAAAAAAATTGTTATTTTAAAATCCCCATGTTATTTGTATGGAGAATATTGTAAAATGTTGTAGTTTGCTTGTTTATGGATATATTTTGACCAAACTTGGTAAATTTATTTATTTTATACCTACTAAGTTATTAATATTTTACTAAAAAACACACTTTTTTATCCTCCCTATAGCAGCAAGCCTTGGTAGGCCTACTCATAAAACCTAATTTTAAATAAATACATTTAATTGAAAATCAATTCAGGCAAAGGGACATTCGCTTAGTCGGCAGATTTGCTGCGGCGGGGGTACAGGGCCGTCCGAAGGGGGGGCAAGCTGCCCCGGGCGCCTAGGCTGAGGGGGTGCCTCGCAGCGGCTATTTGTATTAACGTAGTATTGAATGTCAGTAGCGAATGCGACTGACTATTACTGGGGGGGAGAGGGCGCCACAACCACGTTTGCTCCGGGCACCGCCAACCCTAGGGACGGCTCTGCGGGGGTACACCCAGTAAATGCTCACGTTTGTGGGACTGAGACTGAAACAAAACAACTCAACCCACAGAGCATTCCTAAAAAAAACATGGCCATTGATTCCAATTTCTGCCCCAAAACCATGAACTCCATGTAGTATGTGACACCATTGACTATATAGTAGTGTTATATAGTCAATGGTGATACTATAGATTAAACATACTCGTTTAGTAGATATGTCATCTTGATTTATTAGCTGAAAACAATTATTGTTATTTAAACCTAGTTTATCCAAAATAAAACGATCTAATCATAAACAATAGGTCGTATCCTGGTTATATTACAAGAAATTAAAACACACATCATAGAACTACAACTAACCCTAAAATAATAGAAACAAAATTATGTGGAAACTAACGTTTAGTGTCACCAACATGAACTAGACATGAACAAATTGAGAATTAACAATGTGATAAGAAGTCTACTTGAGTTATGTTTAATCTATGGTGGTTCTGCATCTAGATTATATTTCCAAAGCAAAACAGAGCAATATTCCGGCCAACCATACTGATCCTTAGGTCTGAGGAGAAAATGACAGCATTTTGCTTTGGATGGTATTGAATTTTTCTAAAACCTATTGCAAACTGAGATTAATATTTTTTTGTTAATTTTAAGATAAATTTATGATTTTTTTAATATTCAACACGACGTATTATATATTATATTGTTGTAAACTAGACTAGAAACCTGCAGATTGTTGTAAACTAATCATAAGATTAGTTAATAACTTTCGTTTTGTGAGGTAAGGGTTGTATCAGTGTCTAGCTCGCTTGCGCCTCTACTGATCAGTAGCGCCAAGCCGGTGATACGAATGTACGTACCGCATATACGTCAATATCCCAACAACCTACTCCAGTTTAACTATTGTTTGTTACCAATTTCGTAACGAAATTGATGCATAATGTTGAAAAATAGTTTAAATTTTCTAACAATTATTTCTTCTAATGAACTTCAAAATCATAATGCTTTATTAGCCAGAGTTTTTGTTATCAACTCCAAAATATGTTAAGAGCTATTTTATGACTATTCATTTTTATTTGGAGATAATAAAAAAATATTTTCCTCAGCTGTGCGCCCTCTGGGAGCTCGCGCCCATAGGCCCAGGCCTATTGGGAAATCCGGCCCTGTTGCTATATTATAGTTGTTGATGAGGGTAAACACACGTTTACACTAGATGTTTGTGATTGAGTAACAAGTTATCATTTAATATCTATACAATAGTTAAGAAGGACAATTTGGTCCAAATCCTTGTGCTGTGACTATGATGTGTTTTCTCACTATAAAAGGTTTATATAAGATATATTTTTGGCCAATTATTATTATTATTTGTAGAACTAATACTTTATTTGAGTAAGATTAAATTGGGTTTGTAAAGAAAATTGTTATTGAGTGTGCTAATAAAAAGATAGAGCGAATGTATAGAACTCTACAACTAATTCTCAAGAGAATAACTGGTTCATCTAGTCCTTACCTTCTCTTTCTATAGTACCTGGTCTTGCACTAATTTGCTTATTCTTTAGATTATATAATGGATTTTCTTTATGCAGATGCTGGAAATACTCAAAATGGGATGTTCTAATCGAATGAAAATGGCCACAGCTTTTCAAACTTACATGAAACTGTGTGAAGGTAAGAAAACCAATATTTTGAATATCTTTGTTTTTTTATGAAAACACTTTGGACGTTAGTTATATTAGTGAGACAGACAATGGAATTGGCTAGCTCAGGATCTTGCTAACCCGTGTAAGATGGTAGATTTGGTTACATACGAAACCGGCTAACAGTTTCACTGCAGAATTGCCTAACCCCGTAGCCCACTAACTTGATTTTGTCCTGCAGCAGAATTTAGCTAACTCAGGAATTCCTTAATCCAGCCACGCCCAATGCACAGAGTGTTGCCAACATTTTATGACAAAACTTTGATATACTACCGAATTGAAAATATGTCAGTGATAATGTTGGCAGTGGTTAGTTTTTGTAAAATGATCCTTTCTATTTCTAATACCTTTATCAAAGTAAGTACCTATTTCAATACATTTATTGTTTGTGTTTAGCTTTATAGGTACAACAATCCATTCGTTCTTTAGTTCTTTTTTCTGACTTTATAATGTCTGCCAGTGTTTTTAGGCATGTCACAGAATATGACTAATTTAGAAAAGTACCACTTAACTAAGGATATTAAACTACGTACGATTAAGTTCCATCCAACATTCATTTTAAAATCACTTTTAGTAATCCTAATATTCCGGTATTTACTAACAATTAATATACCCTACATTTTCCCTAACAGTTTTTAATTTACTAGTGTAGGCCTATAGTAGTTCGTAAAATTTTGCTGTGTGGTTGAAATCAACCTAGGGAATCTTATTTTAAAATGTAATTGAGAGAAATGTTCAATCAGCATTTTTTTATTAAAACCCAGTTGCATTAAATAAAATAACGAAGCTTATTAATTCCGCATACCCTATTAGAAGGGTAGGGGCCTACGTAGTTCTGCTGATACTGAAACTACATTAAGGAAAGTCACCAATAAATAAATAATAAATATAATGGAGAATGCTTTTGCTGACAAAAAATTTTAAACTTGAGGCATAACAAAACAGAAACAAACAAAAACTGAACTAACCATCCTCTTACTCCTGTTGCCATTAAATATTAAAATGAAGTAGATACAGCTGTGGCTTAGTTATGCAACAGCATCCCCTAGGAGAAGCTTGAAAGTCTAGGAAGATTGAATGTAACTCTTAGACTAAATCACGTTGTATATAGGTACTGAGTAAAGGTACCGTATAGGTATGGAGACTCGCCTTTGGCTCGCCAGGTTGGGGAATTGTTGGAAAATCCTCAGAGAAAATCTGTTACTGAGCAAAATAATACAATGATTAGAAGTTTGTAAAATACTAAGCACTGTATTCTAATGCAACTGAAGTGTTTTTGATACAGAAATATTAGAGGGGTTGATTTGGTGGGGGGGGGAGGTGTAAATTGTATACACTTTTTAAAATCATTCTTTGGTTTTAAAACGAAGACTAGTAACTGTCAAAAATTTCAAGTCTTTACCACGATGAAAGACAGTGATTCAAAAACTGTTGGGGGGGTTTTAATTATTTGTTATGGAGGGTACACATTCAAAAATTCTAAATTCCTTTAATATAGGGGGTTTATTAAATAGGGGATAGGAGGTTTATAATAAATAGGGGGCTTTGGGTTATAGAAGTTTAAAAAAACATGATACTCGATGACGTTTTCAGATATCCGCCATGTCAGATTTTGGGGGTCCGTGGGTTAAGAAAATGGGACTTTTGAAAAGCGTAAGGGTCATTTTTTGGTAACGTTGTACATTATTGTAAAGTTTTAAATCTATAGCATGATTCCAAACGGTTTAGATCTGCATACCAAGGTCGGCCACTTTCAAGGTTATTCCCAATAAGAGTAACACGGTGGGGAATTCCATAGTTCAGGGGGGGTTTATTATCGTAAAAGGTCACTTTTTGAAAAGGGTGCAAGACCTACAATGGTGCCAAATTGCAGATCTCCAATAAATCTAGAAGTGGGTAAACGTGATTTAGACGGATAGACCTGTCGTGGCTATAGGATAGATATAAGGGGGAAAATGATTTTGGAGGGGAGGAATGTTAATATGGTCCTTTTTATTTATATTCATACCTTGGTGTTAGATCTAATACAGTAAACTGTGTATAGCTTCAATACCCTTGCACCCATAGAATGGGTAAATAAACTGTTATATCCTGGTACAAGTTTTAAATTATTTCAAATTTTTACATTAAACTTAAATTTCGAGGGTCAAGGAGTAGGGTTACGAAATAACATGTAATGACTAAAATTAAAAGTAAACTAAGGAAAATACAAAGCATTAATAATATTTGAAAAAGAAAATACTTGAAGAGGAATAAGTTGTAAAATATTTTAAAGAAAGTTACCAATTTTTGAAAGTTTGGCGTTTTTTGGAGATGAAGCGGTGCAATTTTCAGGAAACGCCTCAAAATGTTTTGTAGAAAATTTAATTCCTGTCCATGAAAGTTCTTTCAAATCTTTGCTAGCTCTTATAGTTTTTTAGCTTTAGCCGTTAAAAAAAAACGTGTTTTGTTGTTTTCAGATGTCCGCCAATTTGGATTTTTGGGAGGGTTAAAATATAAAAATGGTACTTTTGGAAATTTAACGTTAATTTATGATCACGTACTACAATGCTGCCGAATTTAGTCTCTAGCACGTTTCTAAATGGTTCAGATGAGCAAGTCGGCAGCTTTCAATGTTATTTCCCATAAAAATAACATGGGTCGGTAATTATAAATTTTGGAGGGGTTACCTAGTTTTTAATATGCTTGAACCAGCATATTTTATTCTCCGCATGCTTATTCCCCATAAGATTAACATGGGTAATATTTTAAATCCAAGAAGAGGGATTTAGTTGGGAAAATGGGGATTTAAAACCTTTACGTGCTTTGGGCCGAAAACCACCACAACTACAAAATTTCAAAATTCTAGCTCTAATATAAGTGGGTAAGTGGGTCCCCCAAAGTCCAAAGACAACTATCATTATGGGGTTTTTTGAAGGGGTTAGAGTGAAGATAGGTGAAAGACGTAATGGAAAAAAAATGTGCACAAAATAGTATACGAAACATTTATTTTATTTTGTATAATCCTATGTTTGCGTACTTTTAAATTGAAGGGAATCTTCAAAATCGGAATTTTTTATTTAAACTAGAAATCAACCCCAACTTTGATGATTTTGTTGGGTGAGTAAAAATCCTAAAATTGGCTGAGAATAAACTTCAACATATGTTAAAAGAAATAAAAAGTCAAACTTGCCCAAAACGTTTTTAACCTTCTACGGGGCAGCCAAAACCACCCAAAGCAGGAAAAGTAAGATAAAACTTCAGGTTCAAGGCTGAATTTGGGGGTGAAGGAGTGAAGATGGAAAACATTACCAAGTTGTAGATCGTTGAAAGTAGTGCCTGGACTGGAAGTGCTCTCTGTTTTTCCATCAGACCGGACGGTCAAGCCGTAACAGATGTTAAAACAAAGAAACATGAGGAACAAATCTTAAAATGTGAAGTTTAGAGGAATATATAAAGGAATTTATAAATCTAAATGCAGTAACTGCTCTCGGTTTTTCTTATAGACCATTGGTTTGGCCGCAACGGGCGTTAAAAAAAGCACCTTTTTTATAATGTTCTAAAATCTACCATTTTGAATTTTTTGGAGGTTTGAAATCTGAAAATGTCACTTTAGGCAATTGTTCTGGTAAATTGAGACTAACACCTAAAATCGTGCCAAGTTTCAACCCCTTAGCTATTCCGAAAAGTAATTTTAATAATAACAAAAAACACTTTTTTACCCTCCCTGTTGCAGCAAACCTAAGTACTCGTTAAACTAATTAGATTTAAATAGGGAAAAAATGTGATAATTTTTAGGAGGCATTTTAGTGTAAATCCAATAAGGCAGATGGAGATTCGCTTAGTCTGTAGGTTTGCTGCGGCAGGGGTATTTTCTTTGATTGTAGATTGACTCAATTATTCGGGTAACATATATATCACCACTGAGCTCTGTCTAAGCTCAGTTACATTTTATTACCATTCTGGAACATTAGCAAGGAATTTCTTCACTAGGATGTGGTCCATTATATGGAGGCTGTAGAACACGTCTATCAGAGTCAGAAAAAAACATTGTTAGAAACACATTATTATTGCATTTTCTAAGGTCCAGAAATACAAAGGTTTTTGGGGTTATGTGGCGTGATGTAGGGACAGATCTGATGGAAGACAAAATGTTGATGAATACGCACAACATAATCAGTGGGATCTTTACACCTAGATCCGTCGACAGGAAGATCAAACCATGGACCAAAAAATGCTAGAAAAACCGGTTTTAAACTGATTCAAACAAAGTGGTGTGTGTGAGAATACAAGACATTCACATTCTAGCAAATAAATCAGAACTAGTAAGAATGAAATGAAATGATAATTGTTTATTTTTTCAGGCAAAGTTCTTACACTTAACCTGACATTCAAAAATATAACAAAAATAATGTTACATTGGGATAACTTAATCTAATTAAACATAAAAATATTTAACAACTCATGTACCTAAATTTCTCAGACAAAAAGAAGAATAAACATACAAATTTAACAAATAAAAAAAACACATTTACACACTCTCGCATACACGCATCAGCAAACGAGCAAAGAAATAGTAATCCTAGGACACGCCAGCCAAGACCATCTTCTCAAAATAGAGGTTTTTTAGTGCCGCCACAAACTGGGAACTTTTTTCAAGTGTCTTAATGTGCAGGGGTAGGCCATTCCACAGACGACAAGCGGTAACAACAAAAGCCCTGCCATAAGCTGTGGTCACATGATGAGGTATACGCAATGTGATCAAAGAATAACGAGACATTCATGAACTACCCTGAGACACAAATTTAAAATCGGATATGAAATATTTTGGGGAGCCTGTTTTTAAAATTGAAAAAACCAATGACAAAATTTTAATGAATCGTTGATAATTTAATTTCAGGATGTGTGCCTCAAGGTAGTAAAAATATGATAACATTTAAGTTTAATAAGTTTAGAGAAATCTATATAAAATATAAACACTTTTATTAATCAACCCTAAACAATTTTTTCAGTTGACAAACTGTGGGAAATACAGATCTTCTTTGAAAAAGAGCTTGATCTCATATATTTCATATCCTTGGTCAAGAAACAAGAAATGATTTACACCCCATTAACAGTCCAGCAGCAAATGACCCCAATGTTGATGTACTCTGTCAAGACCATTCTAATGGAAAAACACCCAAATGCTCAGTGAGTACTCATTGAATTTTACTTCAGATATGAATACTTTTATGTTGCAGTATCTGACTTTTCATTTTAGCAAATTTCCCATATAGGGAATAAGCTATTACCGTAGTACTCATGGTAAGACCTGGACCCGGGACCGATTTACTTTTTAGTTTTGAGGTCCCTAGAGGCCAAAAATACCATCCGTTCAAATTCATATATTTATATATACAGTATGTGTCCGTTAGCGCGATAACTCGAGCAAAAATTTTGCGATTTCGATTAAATTTGGTACAAACGTGGTACATTTATTCGAACGAGTTTCGCAAACCAGCATGATCGGACCATGGGAACGGGGGTTTATGGGGGGTTTTATTGGGCGGAAATAGATTTTCCCATTTTTGACCCTAAAAACATAAAATTTAACAATTGATTTCAAAACCATTTAGTAGGGTTAAAAAAAAAAACAAAATACAATTTAGTATATTGAAGCATATATTTCTCATATGGTGCATAATAATGCTTCAATATACTTAATTATTTGTTTTTTTAAGCTATATAAAATGGTTGGGGAAGAAGTTGTTAAATTTTATGTTTCCGGGTAAAAATGGGAAAAACCAATTTTTACCCTATAAAACCCCCCATAAACTCCTTTTCCCATAGTCCGATCATGCTGGTTTGCTAACTTACTCCAATAAATGTAGGTACACGTTTGTACCAAATTTCATCAAAATCAGATAATTTTTGGCTTGAGTTATCGCGCTAACAGACACATATAAATACGTATATATTATATGAATTTGAACGGATTGTGTTTTTGGCATCTAGGGACCTCAAAACAAAAAAGTAAATCGGTCCTGAGTCCAGGTCTTGCCATGAGTACTACGGTAATAGCTATGTGAGAAATTCACTAAAAAGGTGAGTGCCCCAAAAGAAATTTAGCTAGTGGTTCACTTTAGGTAAGACACCCTGTATAGATCATGTAAATAAAATGCAAATTACCATGATAATAAATTTATTTAATTGGTACTTTCATGTCATTTAGTGTTCATAAATGATTTCGGGCATATGCGGGTTTATCAGCATAGACTGGTTGTTTATGTATCCCCATAAAATTTAGTCAATTGGTGTCAGATTGCATGATCGTGAAGGCCAGTTCAGACCTTGGAGGCTAGGATACAAGTTAGTAACATTGATTATACACGTACTAGTGCACCTGTTGCTCGAATTCGAGTAATTGCAAAGTGATACAGGCGTTATTTCAAAACGAATAACAGTCATAATTTCCTACGTCATGGACCTGTTTCCCTCCATTCCCATTGCATTTAAAGATTGCAGATACCTTAATCTAATCGTCATAAACAGTTCCCACACTCTGGACTACTCGCCTTGACTACTTCCTTTACCACTTCCTACGTCGCGGACCTGTTTCTCTCCCTTCCCATAGCATTTTAGGATTGCAAATACCTTAATCTAATCGTCATAAACAGTTCCCACACTCCGGACAACTCGCCTAGACTACTTCCTTCACCACTTCCTACGTCGCGGACCTGTTTTCCTCCCTTTCCATAGCATTTTAGGATTGCAAATACCTTAATCTAATCATCATAAACAGTTCTCACGCTCCAGACAGCTCGCCTTGACTACTTCCTTCACCACTTCCTACGTCACGGACCTGTTTCCCTACCTTCCCCTGGCATTTTAGGATTGCCCATACCCTTATCTAATCGTCATAAACTGTTCCCACACTCCGGACAGCTCGCCTTCACTACTTCCTTTACCACTTCCTACGTCACGGACCCTGTTTCCCTCCCTTCTCAGAGCATTTTAGGATTGCCCATACCCTTATATAATCGTCATAAATAGTTCCCACACTCCAACAGCTCGCCTTGACTACTTCATTTGCCACTTCCTATGTCGCGGACCTGTTTTCCTTCCTTCCCATATCATTTTAAGATTGCAGATACCTTAATCTAATCGTCATAAACAGTTTCCACACTCCGGACTACTTGCCTTGACTACTTCCTTCACCATTTCCTACGTCACGGACCTGTTTTCCTCCCTTCCCATAGCATTTTAGGATTGCAGATACCCTAATCTTATCGTCATAAACAGTCCCCACACTCCGGACTGCTCGCCTTTACTACTTCCTTCATCACTTCCTACATCACGGACCTGTTTCCCTCTATTCCCATAGCATTTTATGATTGCCTTTATTACTTCCTTCACCACTTCCTATGTCGCGGACCTGTTTCCTTCCCTTCCCATAGCATTTTAGGATTGCAGATACCTAAATCTAATCGTCATAAACAGATCCCAGACTTCGCACTGCTGCCCTTGACTACAATGTATCGAGTAATCTTCAGTATAATCTTTGCTAAATATTAACAAGGGATGTTTTTCCTCTTGTACTGTATTTGTAATTTGCTAGTATACTGTGGGTAGTTGGCTTATTACAACTACATAATAATGGCAACACATGCTACAATTTCATGTCTTTTGTTTACTTTATCCTTGTTATTTAATTCATCCAAAATGGTTACCTAGCAACACATAAGACTAATGTTTAAAAAATGTGATTTTCAGTTTCATTTTTCTACGTATTTAGATTTTTGTTGGCAGTTCAAACTGCAGTAAACTCGTTTTTAGGCCAGAAATAAACTATTTACAACATTTGAAGAAAATCGTCGGAGCCGTTTTCGAGATCTTTTTTGCAAGCAAGCAAGCAAGCAAGCAAGCATACATACAAGCAAACATTGCTCGTATTAGAGTATAGGATTTAATCATGTGATGATGAAATCACATCCAAATTGTCTTATACAGATTTTAACTACCTATTGTTCTGACACAGTATCACAGTAAATGGTTGGAAACTAAGAGTTTATCTACATAATAATTCTAAATTTGTTTCAGTTGTTCCTGAAAAACTGTTTTGTGTCTTAACTGTGTAAGATTGAATCCTATAAAAGGGTTTAAACTTTTTAAATTATGCCCTTGTTAGCAATTTATTTTTGTGCGTTTTATAAATTTGTCTAATCATGTTTTCATGTTTCATTTTCTAGGATCAATATTGTATTAAAAACACCAGACCATAGTTTTTTGACTTATAAGTTTGATGAAGGCTTGTGCCCTCCACCCACTCCTGACTCTACCAAAGAAAAGAAGGCTTTAAAAGAAAAGATGCAATACATTCAATCAGAGCTGAATAAACGTAAACCAGAACTTTATGAAGAAGCTAAGAGAAAACAGAATGATAATTCTGAGAGCGATGATGAAGTAAAGATAGAAGAAAATTACGATGGGGAAGAACTGTAAATACAGTCCATTATCTTTATATATTTATTGAATAAAATAGTTGCTTTACAAACAGGCTGTTCTTATGTCCTTAAGATTCTAAAGTCTCCAGTCAATCACCATTACAATGCTACCTGTCAGAAAATATTAAAATTTCCAAGTACAATGTTCCTAATTTCATTAAGTAAAACCTTAGGAAGCTTCTAACAATTAACCTAAAACATAAAACAGCTACCTAGCAAATGAATTATATATGGAAGAAAAATTACATAAAAAAGAAAAATAATATATTTATAGACTGAATGTTCTTTCAAATTATATAAAACAAGTCTAAATAACATGTTCAACATTAATGTTCAAGTTAATAAAAGTTGAAAGGTTTATAATAGTGAAGTTAATAGCCCTTTCACATGAATTTGTCAAGTGTGAACAATCTTTGTTCTTATCTAGAATGTTTTAATTATTTCCTAATAGTGTTGTAATCTCTAGTCATTATTAAACACTGCAGTTTCTCATTAAAGATTCAGTACTGGAACTGCATTTTGAAGTTATTGCTTCACACTACATGTTTATGTTGACATAATTCTTTTTATTTTCATCAAAATTCCAAACAACTTTATCTGATGAATGAGAAATGTTAGAAGAAACTTTTAGACAGGTTCCACAGTATGATATACCATCCATACTAAATATTTTGAAGAAAAACTGGACTGAACATTTTCTTCTGCATCAGTATATATCCATTATGACTTACAGTGTGACTGAAAATGCTCAGTTATCCCAAGTTTTGTTTTGTTCAGGGGATTATGAAAATGGAGTGTATTTCATTGAAACAAAATTCAAACTCATTAAAGATCTAAGGTTTTTCTTTATTTATTCTCTTGGAAGTGAAATAATATTGAAAAAAGCACTTATGAAAACCAATTTAGTGCCATGGGGTAATAAAGAAAGATATATTTTTGAGGTTACTTTAAGCCGTTTTACACAAACTATTTGTCAAGTATTTTTAGCCAAAAGAGTAAAATATGTAGCTCAACGTTACAACTTGTTGTGGTTGCCGCCAAATGTTAAGGTTAGTGAAAAAAATATCTCCAAATACTTATTTTTGGATAACTTAAATGTATCTCATGCTGAAGAAATAGATGCACAATGGCCCTCTTTTAGAAATCAGAGAGAAGTTTTAGAGAGTGAAATATCCTCCTTTTTTGGTTTGGGTATTTTTAAGAATACTAACAAACAATTGATAAGCTATGCCTTGTGTTTTCATTCTGGAGGGATTTTCATGCTTTATTCAAACCCGGGTCTTAGGAGGAAAGGTTTAGGGGACATAGTTACTAGAAGTATGATATCTAAGATACGCCAATGTGGTTGGGTGCCTTTCTGTACAGTTTTCCCAGACAACATTCCATCTCTGAATTTGTTAAAACAAATTGGATTCATGGATTATGGGAATGCAGACTTTGTTTTTCCTGGACGGTTTCTGACCAGCATTTTGTAAAAATTGTATGATTTGTCACTCCTTATGAGTAAAATCCTCCTGCTAGCTTGTTTGATTGTTTACTTAAACCCTTTTCTCAAATATAGTTCCAACGATTTCCTTCAACCAATAAACATAATTTTGTCCTGTCTTGTTTAGTACCAGACTTGGAAAGACTAGTTAATTATTTCTTCTAGAGTAAATAGGAAATCGATACGGTAATAGTTTTCATCACTGGGAGCGAAAGTGGCTCTTTTTGGTACGCAATCCTGTTTTACAAGCGAGTTGCAGTCGAGCTTGGAAATACGATTAAGTACCAAAAAGACACTTTCGCTCCGTGTGATGAACAACTATTTTCATCAAAATGTGGAAATAACATTCTAATCGTTACAAAGTTAGACCACATAATTTGAGGTTATACAAAGTTGTCATCAATATTTACATTTCTGTTGTTTGAAAACATAACTTTAAATATCGTGTGATTAACAGCGTTCTCGTAACGCACTGATAAAATTTTGAGGTTAACGAACCAAAGAATTTACCATATGCTTTTTTCTGTTCCCTGTTTGAAGATACCTGAAAATGATGATTTTTCAGACTATATAGAGAACTAAAAACGGCTGATTCCGGACAGTATGATAAAAAAAATTTAACATTGGTCTCATGGAGTAACATTTGTAAAAGAATTGTGATTCTCAGGTATATTTTGGAACTAAAACTGCCTAAGATAATATTGTACAGCTTTAAATGGTATTTTTGTGTTGTTGGGCAAAGTTAAACCGAGGTTGCCCTTAACACATTGATAATAACTAGATGTTTCCAGTTAATAATATTAACTATATTTTAATATCATTAAAACATTTAAATAACTTTTTAACTTATTACTACCAAAAAAAAGGAAGAGCTTTTAAGAGCTTAACTTTTACAGTAGAACCTTGATAAGAAGACTCTCATAGGGATGATCAAATATGACTTGTTATCAAGGTTTACTAATTATAGAGGGTTGCAATAACATGCATTTAAGGACAATATAAAATCAAGCGTATTTGAAAATGACCCTTGTTATCAAGGGCCACTTGTTATTGAGCGTCTTCTTATCGAAGTTCCACTGTAATTAACCATAAATAAAAATCTTAGGCTCAATAATGTTTTAATGTAGGTAGTCTTAGAATACTGACTGACAGACCAGTTAAAATGTTCATCTTAATTTTAAAATGTTACATAAGAAACTCTTCCCATACTATGTTTCTTGTAAACAGTCTTAACGTCTTTAGCCAGATGACCTTGGTTTCGTTGTTCTTTAACCATTATTTTTAGAACATCAAAAGCGCAGCGTCTTGACATTGCTACGTACAATGGCCCATGCTGAAAGCAGGGCTCTGGCAGATAAAGACCAACTTTTCAAGTGTCTGTCCTTGAATTTTGTAATAGTCATGGCAAAAGCGATTTGACATGGGAACTGTCGACGTTTGAATTTTAGGGGGAAATTTCCTTCTGATGGTTCTAAGCTTAATTGGGGCAGTAACACTCGTTTTCCAGCCGAACTTCCAGTAATAATTTCAAGACTTAGGACTTAATCATTCATCTCTTAATCTCTCTTAATCCACCATTAATCTGGTTCTATTAATCAGTCCTTTTTGTGGATATAAATTTCTTAGTAAAATTACAATTACTAGTGTCCCTGTTGCTCGAATTCGAGCAATTGATAAGTATTACAGGCGTTATTTTAAAACGAATAACAGTCATAATTTATGATGACTTTAAAAGATTCGACTCAAAGATTTTGGAAATACTCATGATGTAGGTACATAACAGATCGATATAATCAAAACTTCTTAATATCTTATCATTTTCAAAAGCTGGTCTGGTTTTATAGTGTTTTCTACAAATAGCCTTACTTATAGCCGCATTAGGTTGCCCATAATAACGATTATAAATTCTAAACAAAACACATTTCTATTTCTTCTCCTTGGTGGTGTTCTATGACTTTCCTATGTTTATGTTTCCATAGTTTGCAAACCGGCTCTTTCAATGATTACTAAGAAGTGCAGCACAGTGTTAAAATTCAGTTATCTTTTAAAGATTTCAATTTATCCAGGCTCTCTCGCTTTTTTCCATTGTAATATTTAGCCAACCCAAATTCAAATAGTAAACATTTCATTTCAACCAAATCAGTAAATGTTTGTAGTAAACGGTTAAGTTAGGAAACTTATTGACTGTTTACAATTAACATGTGTTCTTCTTCTCACTTTTAATTTCTGACAACAGCTGGAGTTGCATAACACTTTTTGTTTCCCATGTTAATCTTATGGAGGAATACAAAACTCTAAAGGGCCCCAGGGCCTCACTTTCTAATTATTTCCCTAAAAAGAAAGTTTCCTGCACAACTTCACGTTACGCTCTTTCCAATGAGACCAAAAACATGTCAATCGGTTCTGTAGTTTCAGAGGAGTAATTGTCACAAAAATCCTGCTTGCGTATTAAATAAGTATAACTTTTGATAACTTGAAGTATAACTTGAACTTTTGATTCAGCTTATCAATAAGAGGCCTTAGCTTGTGTAATTTGTCAGGATTATCTTTAGAAATTTTACTATTGTCGTTCACATGAAGATATGTAATATTTCCATGAACCGCCCTCTTGTCATGGCTCCTGCAACAGGCTTGACATGTAAGTCATCAGCAGTATTCCAGTAGTGTTTTATGGAAGGTAACTGGTGATAACCCATGAGAAAGTTTATGCCAATAAACACCAGGAGTTCATTTTCTTTTAAATTTAGTGTTTTACCATTTTGAGTCGCAAATAGATTTGACTGATAAGTTATGTGGCTTACCAATTCCTGGTCAACAAACTCACGAAACACATCAGTAGGCGTTTTGCATTGTTCGAAGTGTCCTTCCATTAGACCTGAAAACAAACAAAAACATTAGACATTTGTACAGTCGGTACAACTAGTAGGTACAACTAACTAACTCTTAGCATCGGGTTAGCTAACAAAAGTGCTGAAAAGTATTAAAAAATTGAATTGTTCTGACAGAATGAAAATTGTTGCCTAGCAACTGATTATAGGCCTAAGTTAATTGTTGGATTTATTAATTTGTTTACATAACTGAGTAGCCAAAAAAATAGTTTTTGCTAGTACATTTTATTATGTTAGTGATAAACTGCAAGATATATAAAAATAACTAACTTAGGCTTACATAAATGAAAATTGTTGCTCAACAACTGCTAAGTATTGTTTGTGTTTGAAAACTGATTTTGAAGGATACATAAGCTAAAATAAGTTAGATATAATATAAAGAAAATAGCCTATAAGTGTTATTTTTTATGCTTACCTTCACTTTCGTCATAGTGTGGAATAGTTGTAGGCATGTCCTTCTTTTTCCATTTATAATCCGGGGCGTCTTTCTTTTTCTTCGCATTGGAGTCTTCATTTTTGTGTGGTTTGCCACCTTTAGACTTTTGGTTTGCTTTAGTCTTATTAGGTTTAGTCACTTTAGGTTTGGTTGTTGTCTTCTTAGCTTCACGCCTGCCTTTTCCAGAGGTTGCGTTTTTTTTCAAATTGCCTTTTCCGGATTTGTTATTAGTTGCACTAGTTTCATTACACCTACTATTGTTAGTTTCGATAGTTTCATTAGCCTCGGTACAATTGTCAGTAGGCCTACCTGTTTCATTAGCTTCCAAAGTTTGATTAGCTTCCAAAGTTTCATTAGACTCTTTGTTATTATCGTCAGAACCTGGTGTCTCATTTTCTATGTTTAGAATACCTTCATTAAATATGTTATCAAAATTATTATCTGTATCTTTGCTACAGCAGGCTACAGGTTCTACAAACTCATGTTGTTTATCTACCATCTCATTGGAAATGATTGGTAGGCCTAGGCCAATTGGACTCAGGTCTTCTACCAATTCTTCATCGCTATAACATGTATTACCGGGCCTAAATGAAACAGAGGCCTCTGTTAACTGCAGATCATTCTTATTACGAGTAGGAACTACATTTCTTACAGATATTTCTCTTCCTGTATCCAAATAGTCAGTTTGTTCTAACCTAACTTCATCATCATTATCTTCACAGTCACTTACATCTGAGCTGGCACTAATGTCTGGTAGGTCTTCAAAAAGACACTCATCTATTTCTATTTCATTTAATGTCCTATCCATAGTGATGAATAACAACTTTAAACATTATAAAACTGCACCACAACAAACTAAACACCTTCACTTTCAAACAACAACACCAAGGCACTAACAGCTAGCAGACTAAAGCTCTTTGTTTATAACACTCATCAGCTGATTAGCGTCTGGCCATAGAGGACCGACGAGACTTTAAAGTACCAAAGCATTTTTAGGCCATATTTATTTATTCCTGCGATGTAATATAAAAATAAAAATAAAATAATTAATTTAAGACAATATACAACCCATTTAATAAAATATATGGACAGATGGGGGACTAGAACTTGTCTTAAAAAAATTTTGAAATTGCACAACATGAATACGGCCGTGAAGATAGCTGTCACCAGCTGTCGCCTAGCAGTTGCGGCGGCTCCCCCACTCCTTCACCCTGGCCCCAAGATAGATAGTCTGTTATTTATGAGAATAGACCACTAACCTCACCTTGCTACTGATTGATTGCACCTACTGTTATTACACATTGTACAAGTATACAGGATTGTTCTTATAAAAAAATATGTAAATTTAAAAAGTGAAGGATCTTTAGGAAAAAATGCTGTTAAAAGAACACAAATACAGTGGTTTATTATTTCATTACACTATGACCAACATTCATAATTTTCTTACCTTGGCCCTGTTTGATTGAACAAAATTGGATTACTGATTGTACTAGTGTAAATGACTGCTTTTAATAATAAAACATAATAATTGGAATAAAGACTGCTTTTAATAATAAAACATAATAATTGGAATAAAAGTATAAGATGTTGGCGAAAATGGTGTCGAAAACTACCAAATGGTCAAATAATATTTCACATTCAAGATTTTTTTCTTACCATGACTCCGATTGATTGCACCAAATGTTATTACTGATTGTACTTGTACAGGTGATTGCTTTTAATAATAAAATATAATTATTGGAATAAAAGTGTAGGATGTTTGCGTAAAATGGTACCAAGACCACAAAAATGGTCAAATAATGTGCCACATTTACAAATTATTTTTACCATGACCTTGATTGATTGCACCAAATTTTATTACTGATTGTACAAGTATAGATGATTGCTTTTAATAATAAAATATAATAATTGAAATAAAAGTGTAGGATGTTGGCGTAAAATGGCACCAAAGTCACGAAAACGGTCAAATAATGTGACACATTCACAAATTATTTTTACCATTACCCCGAATGATTGCACCAAATTTTATTACTGATTGTACAAGTATATATGGTTGCTTTTAATAATAAAATATAATAATTGAAATAAAATTGTAGGATGTTAGCGTAAAATGGCACCAAAACCACGTAAATGGTTAAATAATGTTATACATTTAAGATTTTTTCTTACCATGACCCCGAATGATTGCACCAAATTTTATTACTGATTATACTAGTATATATGGTTGCTTTTAATAATAAAATATAATAATTGAAATGAAAGTGTAGGATGTTGGCGTAAAATGGCACCAAAGTCACGAAAACTGTCAAATAATGTGACACATTCACAAATTATTTTTACCATTACCCCGAATGATTGCACCAAATTTTATTACTGATTGTACAAGTATATATGGTTGCTTTTAATAATAACATATAATAATTGAAATAAAATTGTAGGATGTTGGCGTAAAATGGCACCAAAGTCATGAAAATGGTTAAATAATGTTATACATTTAAGATTTTTTCTTACCATGACCCAGATTGATTGCACCAAATTTTATTATTGATTTTACTAGTATAGATGATTACTTTTAATAATAAAATATAATAATTGAAATAAAAGTGTAGGATGTTGGCGTAAAATGGCACCGAAACCACGAAAATGGTCAAATAATGTGACACATTCACAAATTATTTTTACCATTACCCCGAATGATTGCACCAAATTTTATTATTGATTGTACTAGTATAGACGATTGCTTTTAATAATAAAATATAATAATTGAAATAAAAATGTAGGATGTTGGCGTAAAATGGCAACAAAGTCACGAAAATAGTTAAATTAAATGTTATACATTTAAGATTTTTTCTAACCATGACCCCGAATGATTGCACCAAATTTTATTACTGATTGTACAAGTATATATGGTTGCTTTTAATAATAAAATATAATAAAAGGAATAAAAGTGTAGGATGTTGGCGTAAAATGGCACCGAAACCACGAAAATGGTCAAATAATGTGACACATTCACAAATTATTTTTACCATTACCCCGAATGATTGCACCAAATTTTATTACTGATTGTACAAGTATATATGGTTGCTTTTAATAATAAAATATAATAATTGAAATAAAATTGTAGGATGTTGGCGTAAAATGGCAACAAAACCACGTAAATGGTTAAATAATGTTATACATTTAAGATTTTTTCTTACCATGACCCCGAATGATTGCACCAAATTTTATTACTGATTATACTAGTATATATGGTTGCTTTTAATAATAAAATATAATAATTGAAATGAAAGTGTAGGATGTTGGCGTAAAATGGCACCAAAGTCACGAAAACTGTCAAATAATGTGACACATTCACAAATTATTTTTACCATTACCCCGAATGATTGCACCAAATTTTATTATTGATTGTACTAGTAAAGATGATTGCTGCAATCATTCGGGGTCATTGTAAGAAAAAATCTTAAATGTATAACATTTCTTAACCAATTTCATTACCGGTACTTTGGTGCCATTTTACGCCAACATCCTACACTTTTATTTCAATTAATATATTTTATTATTAAAAGCAACCATATATACTTGTACAATCAGTAATAAAATATGGTGCAATCAATCAAGGTCATAATAAAAATAATTTGTGAATGTGTCACATTATTTGACCATTTTCGTGGTTTCGGTGCCATTTTACGCCAACATCCTACACTTTTATTTTAATTATTATATTTTATTATTAAAAGCAATCATCTATACTAGTACAATCAATAATAAAATTTGGTGCAATCATTCGGGGTAATGGTAAAAATAATTTGTGAATGTGCCACATTATTTGACCATTTTCGTGGTTTCGGTGCCATTTTACGCCAACATCCTACACTTTTATTTCAATTATAATATTTTATTATTAAAAGCAATCATATATACTTGTACAATCAGTAATAAAATTTGGTGCAATCATTCGGGGTAATGGTAAACATAATTTGTGAATGTGTCACATTATTTGACCATTTTCGTGGTTTTGGTGCCATTTTACGCCAACATCCTACACTTTTATTTCAATTATTATATTTTATTATTAAAAGCAACCATATATACTTGTACAATCAGTAATAAAATTTGGTGCAATCATTCGGGGTCATGGTTAGAAAAAGTCTTAAATGTATAACATTTAATTTAACTATTTTCGTGACTTTGTTGCCATTTTACGCCAACATCCTACACTTTTATTTCAATTATTATATTTTATTATTAAAAGCAACCATATATACTTGTACAATCAGTAATAAAATTTGGTGCAATCATTCGGGGTCATGGTTAGAAAAAATCTTAAATGTATAACATTTAATTTAACTATTTTCGTGACTTTGTTGCCATTTTACGCCAACATCCTACACTTTTATTTCAATTATTATATTTTATTATTAAAAGCAACCATATATACTTGTACAATCAGTAATAAAATTTGGTGCAATCATTCGGGGTCATGGTTAGAAAAAATCTTAAATGTATAACATTTAATTTAACTATTTTCGTGACTTTGTTGCCATTTTACGCCAACATCCTACACTTTTATTTCAATTATTATATTTTATTATTAAAAGCAATCATCTATACTAGTACAATCAATAATAAAATTTGGTGCAATCATTCGGGGTAATGGTAAAAATAATTTGTGAATGTGTCACATTATTTGACCATTTTCGTGGTTTTGGTGCCATTTTACGCCAACATCCTACACTTTTATTTCAATTATTATATTTTATTATTAAAAGCAACCATATATACTTGTACAATCAGTAATAAAATTTGGTGCAATCATTCGGGGTCATGGTTAGAAAAATTTTTAAATGTATAACATTATTTAACCATTTTCGTGACTTTGTTGCCATTTTACGCCAACATCCTACACTTTTATTTCAATTATAATATTTTATTATTAAAAGCAATCATATATACTTGTACAATCAGTAATAAAATTTGGTGCAATCATTCGGGGTCATTGTAAGAAAAAATCTTAAATGTATAACATTTCTTAACCATTTTCATTACTTTGGTGCCATTTTACGCCAACATCCTACACTTTTATTTCAATTATTATATTTTATTATTAAAAGCAACCATATATACTTGTACAATCAGTAATAAAATATGGTGCAATCAATCAAGGTCATGGTACGAAGAATTTGTGAATTTGTCACATTATTTGACCGTTTTCGTGGTTTTCGACGCCATTTTCGCCAACATCCTGCACTTTAATTTCAATTATCATATTTTTTTATTAAAATTAATCATCTATACTAGTATAATCAGTAATAAAATTTGGTGCAATCAATCCATGGTGGAAGGAAAAAACATAGGTGTGCTATTCCCACATATTCTGACGTCACTCGGATTGCAAACAAGAGATCACCTGATTGTAACTGTCAAATTCGTATATGTATTTGTTTTGATTTGGTTGTTATTGTTTTTATTATTATAAAACAATAACAATCCAATCAAAACAAATACATACTAATTTGACAGTTACAATCAGGTGATCTTTATTTGTTTGCAATCCGAGTGACGTCAGAATATGTGGTAATAGCACACCTATGTTTTTTCCTTCCACCATGCAATCAATCGGGGTCATGATAAGAAAAATAGTAATCTTGTCAAATTATTTTACCATTTTTCTGGTTTCAGCGCCCTTTTCACTAAGGTCCTACTCTTTTTTTCAATTTTCATACCTTATTAAGAGCAATCATGTTTCTTTATATAATCAATAATAAAATTTGGTTCAGTTTAAATAGGTCCAAGGTAAATACATATTTCTTATTGATCACATTATTGCGTAGTTTTTACCACCAGTCAAGATTACTTATATTTATGTTTTTATATTATTTTATTAATGCATTTTAATAATTACAAAGTAATTCTTATAATTAAATAGGTTATAACCCTTAAAGCTTAGAGTTTTAGAAAATATAAAGTACGGGATTCGGAGGTCTACTTGTGCAAAGCACTGACTACTTCGTAGGGGTAAACTCAAATGTCTGGTGGAGGGGGAAACTTTGGAGGGATGACAGCTGGTGATAGCTATCTTCACGGCCGTAACATGAATTGCCTATTACAATCATGCACCGGCCCAGTAGGTGCTGCTTTCTGGTGGGGTTTGTTGAAACTAGGAGTAGATCTAGTGATTTACAGTACAGACTATGGTACTCAGAAGTACCTCCAGGCCTCTACGTGCAGATAACACTATTGTTACCTTTAATATAAGCATATAAATATGCTGGTACTAGTAAGTACCGTCGGTCCTCAAAGGGTTAAAAGATTCGACTCAAAGATTTTGGAAATACTCATGATGTAGGTACATAACAGATCGATATAATCAAAACTTCTTAATATCTTATCATTTTTCAAAAGCTGGTCTGGTTTTATAGTGTTTTCTACAAATAGCCTTACTTATAGCCGCATTAGGTTGCCCATAATAACGATTATAAATTCTAAACAAAACACATTTCTATTTCTTCTCCTTGGTGGTGTTCTATGACTTTCCTATGTTTATGTTTCCATAGTTTGCAAACCGGCTCTTTCAATGATTACTAAGAAGTGCAGCACAGTGTTAAAATTCAGTTATCTTTTAAAGATTTCAATTTATCCAGGCTCTCTCGCTTTTTTCCATTGTAATATTTAGCCAACCCAAATTCAAATAGTAAACATTTCATTTCAACCAAATCAGTAAATGTTTGTAGTAAACGGTTAAGTTAGGAAACTTATTGACTGTTTACAATTAACATGTGTTCTTCTTCTCACTTTTAATTTCTGACAACAGCTGGAGTTGCATAACACTTTTTGTTTCCCATGTTAATCTTATGGAGGAATACAAAACTCTAAAGGGCCCCAGGGCCTCACTTTCTAATTATTTCCCTAAAAAGAAAGTTTCCTGCACAACTTCACGTTACGCTCTTTCCAATGAGACCAAAAACATGTCAATCGGTTCTGTAGTTTCAGAGGAGTAATTGTCACAAAAATCCTGCTTGCGTATTAAATAAGTATAGATACCTTTTTTTAGGTATAATTTGTGAGTAGGTAAACCACTTGGTGCTAAAGTGTGAAGAAATTCATCAGGTACATGTAACTGGTCTCCCTCTTCTTGAATCAAAGTGTGCACTGAGTAGTAAACTCGACTGTCATCATTTAGTTGCTCAACTATTTTATTATTTATTTCGTCACAAAGTTCATTCTTTATCTTTGGTGAAAGTATTGCATGATTTTTTGTCCTTTTTAAAACATCTTCAGAGAATCTTTAACTGAAGGTTTTGTCAATAATATTTTAATTCACAATACATTGTGGTGGAAGACGTATCAATGACTCACCAAGATCATTATGGTATAGCTCTCTTGGCTATTCCCTATTCATAAAAGATATTCAGCAAATATTGATTCGCGTGGATTGGCTCTCATGTTTTTAGCAAGTAAAATATTTTTAAACTTTGGCCATAAAGGTGGTCTAATTATTGAATTTTCTACTATTGCAAAGCGACTTGCACCAAAAACTATGGGAGCACATTGCCGGAAATCACCTCCCAAAACAATCACCTTTCCACCAAAAGGCTTTTCTTGGTCTTCTCTTCTTACAATATCTCGCAGTAATCTTTCTAGAGACAATAAAGCATACTTATTAGACATAGTAACTTCATCCCATAATATTTCTTTACATTTCCTGATAATTTAGCTTCGTTACTATTGGCTTTTATTCTGGAGTCTGAGGACTCATTTAATTGTATGCTGAGCAAAACGATGCTGAGCAATTCTTACATTGTTACATTTTGTCTTGTAGTGGTTTGATTTGTAACAGGAAGAGATTTGTACCAGGAAACAGGAGTGGGTACACACACGGGTCAATATGTTCGCTAGTGATTGGCAAAGACTGGAGAGAATTTGGGTTGTTTATGTTTCCTCTTCCCCTTTTGTCAACTTGAATACTGCGATTGCTCGGTGGTGCATCATCGTTGTCTGCAACAAAGACCGCTGCTACCTCTCACACGTGCAGGATTGTAGAGTTATTCTCAAATCAGTTCCAGGGACGTCTTGGAAAACCATGCGAAGATTAGAAATGTCATCGCCACTTTCTTGTAGTTCTTCTTCAACTTCTCTTATTTGTTTAAATGAATGTAAATAAGGGTTGTTATAATCATGTAGTGCCTGTTTAAGTAGTTCTAACACTTTGATTCGTTCTCTGTTAGATGAATGATTTATCCTAAACTTATTGGCTTCTGCAGTGTCCATTATATTGGCCAAACGCTGGTATACTACAGGATCTGCATCTAAAGCACTCATTCGATGGTAAACTCCCAGACAGCACACTTTATCCCAGGGACATCCCATAGTAGTCCCATATGTCCTGAGAATGTCTCGGGATATGTACGCTATCCTCAGGATATCCCGCAAAATCCCAGGACGAGTACGAAATCCACAGGATATCCTACAATATACCGTAATGTCCCGGGATTTGTAAGTTAACCTCAGGATATCCTGTAAAGTCCCGGGATATGTACGAATGCCATAGGATATCCCAGAATGTCCCATGAAATCCCGGGACATGTCCAAAATCCAACGGATATCCTGTAATGTCCCGGTAACAAACTGAAGAAAAAAATACTACCACTGATGAAATGTATATCTAAATTTAAATGTTCAACAATGCCAATATATAATAATTTGTTTTTTTCACTAGCGTTTTCAGAAGCTTGGTTTCCATCTTTAGGCTGTGTTTATACTAGTACAAAAAGTAAATATTTACTTAATAAATTAATTTTAAACAAAGTTAAAACAGATGATTTAAAGGATATTGGAAAAATAAAAAATAATATTAGAAAAATTAATCTTTTGAATTTTGGATATATTACAGTGTTGTTCTTGATGTAATTATTTTCAGTAATTCCGAATTTATAATTGGGCCGTCTTCATTATTTAACAAATAATTTTGGTCTGTTTTTTTTTTTTCTCTAAAAATAAGATTCCCACGCATTAAGATGCTGAGGTTTTATAATTTGTTTTAAAAGTTTAAGGTTTCCCAGATTGAAAATATGTCTTGTTAATACTATGGCTAGCAAGGGCTGACTTAACTTTACTGACATATTACTACCACTGAGTTCAAGAAAACTAGAGTTCTATCATAGTTGTGTGAAATGTGAATTTAATTCTAACTTAAAATTAATAAAACAACCAAAAACTAATTTTAATCATACATCCAACCCCTAACTATTTTTCAGCCCCAAACGCTCACAGTCACACAGTACTCCCCAATATAGTTGAGGCAAATAGGAAGCACCGAATAGATTGGAATGGCCGACAAGGAAACGAAGCTCACCAAAAGTTGAAGCAACACATGTAAAAAAATCAAACGTTCCCCGTACAAGGCTGAGCTCACACTAAGGTCGTGGTTATGGGAGGAGGACGACATTTCCCACCTCGTGCCAGGGGTGCTGGTACAGCGGGACAATAATTCCCGCTCGATGCACTCAATGTGTTAACTCCAACCCCAAGGATACAAGCTACTCTAAACAATTCACTTTAAATCCACATGATTAACTCAGAATAATTTATTCCAATTGTATACAAAAATATTGTTTTGCAGGATGATTACAGATAGTAATATAGTTTAACCTTAATCCAGGGGTGGCTTCAGAGAATAGGCCAGGTAGGCCTGGGCCTACCCAAAATTTTGGTAGATATTTCAAAATGATAAATGAATAAAGAAATTTCATTATATGTAAAAAAAGGGAAAGCATTAAAACACATTAAGTTATTTTGCATTTAAATTTTAAAATCCCCCCTTTTTGCTCCACAAAGCCCCTCAAACCCCTCATCCCCCATCAAACTCCTTCTTGATCTTGTCACCTACCCAAAAAATATTCCTGGAGCCATCGCTGCCTTAATCCAGGATTATAAGATCGAAAATACTCAAAAACTCCTGTATAAGTAAGGATTATGATAAATTTCAAGAAATTTGATCCACAAGTGAAGTGGAACCTCAATATTTGGACTAAGGAACTTTGGATATTTGGACTCAATATTGAACTATCGAAATGTCAAACTATAGGGAGTATATTGGACATTAAAACAGGGAGTATTTAAAACACGAGATAAAGCAATTAAATTTAATGAATAGTATGACAAAAAAATAAACAAACGTATCAACTTACATCTCTGATGTGTATTCATTTGGCTTCTTACTGTATAAAAAAGTTTGTAATATTCAATTGCTTTTCACTTTGAATGTAAAAAAAATGTATATCAATGGGATAGTTAAAGTATTGAGTTTTTGCTTGAAACATACCGGGCAATAAAATTTTACATTTTATGGAACAATTGGTAGTTTAAGCTAAGAAGTAGAAGTAAATCACTAAGTACCTAATCAGATTGAAATTGTTTCAATCAGTGAGTGAGATGATGCGTTCAATCAGTGAGTGAGATGATGCGTGGCCTTACTATTTCATTACTCTATGTTGGTGTAATAGGAGGAAATAGAATAACAAACGAAGTTGATGGAATTGTTTTTGTTGCTTGTTATTCTTGTGCAGTGGGAAGGGAGCATTTCTTTCAAAATACCAATAAGTAAGTATTAAGTCATCGTTTTTCTTTTTGTTGTTTTGTTCGTCATCGTAGGAAGTGTTACAACACTACATATCAAACAAGTTAGAGTGACAGTGATGCGATTATTGGTAACAGACTGGGACCGTGGCGTCGTCCTGTAATCTAGCTACTTGGAGGTCAGGAATTGTGGATATTTATAGGGATGATCTGTGGATGCAGTACTCCCTGGTGTGGATTAACGTCCACACTAGTAAGGTGAAATAGGTGGAGATAGTAAATTAGCTATTGCATGGGCCCCACGTTTTTTGTTTTAATATTTTTTTTAAGAGGTTGGCGGCCTCTTTTAACCTTGCATTTCCCCATCCACATAGACTACAGATCTGTGCGCGGAATGTATCCAGCAAAGCAAGGGGTGAGCCGGTACAGTACGAAGGTGAACTGTACTGATAAATTTTAGTGGCAGTGACCAGGATCCGAACCCACGACATCGCTGCCTTGGGCCCGAAGTCCGTGACGCTACCAACTGAGCCACCGACTCTTACAAGTATTTTCATAGCTATGACATATTTACAATCACAAATTGTCTAGTCAATTTATATAGGAATAGAATAAATGATTTAATTATTTTTGGTGTGATTAAAACGTGGAATTTTGAAAAGTTTTTTTATTAATAAATTATTCTACTTTATTATAATTATTCACTAATAGCAGTTGATCTATATTGAACTAATTATTTTTGCTCTATTATTCTTCTGGCTACCTTGTATCAAAATCGAGATCTTTGTGCAAGCAAGCAAAGCATACAAGCAAACATTGCTCATATTAGCCTATCAAGGTTTCTTTTACTTGCGTAGCTCCTTAGATGCAAATACCAAAATTTCTGTGTGTTGTTTTTGGCAGGCAGATGTCAGATACAGAATGGATTTCATGGCTATTGCCGTCCTCTTGAAGAGTGTTCGGGAGTGAACATGTTTGAAGTCTCCAACTGTACTACTGGTCTTGTGTGCTGTACAAGTGGTGAAATCAGTCGGAAAAGTCAGTATCATGCCAAGAAAATCACTTTCTTAAATATGTTCTGTAGTACTTGACGAATGATTAATAAATAACTATCATAATGTAATTTAAAAACCATAAGCCTATTAATTTATGAATTAATAATTTGTTAGGTATGAATCAGTTGAGGTCAGATCTTATAATATACTAGCAGTTACCCAGCGCCCATTGCTGCACTTAACAACTATTATTTTAAATGGTAATTTGTTATTTACGATAAATAATAAAAGTTCATACCAAAAACAAAAAAGAATATTTATGCAAAAGTTTTTTAGTTCCGTATATAAGATTTACTTAATTGTCAGTGGATAAACAATGTTTTTTTTTTTTTAATCATACATTTTCTAAATTTAAACCGACCATAGTCAGGGATCAAGTCGGGGAATATACCCCTTTTTAATTGTGGCTTATAATGGTGATTGCGAAAGCAACACGCAAATGAAGTAGTCTCTTGAATTCAAAGAGTATTTAGGATGAAATCACCGGTATTCTTGGGATTAAGACTATTTATCCTTTAAACTTACCACTGATGATTGTTGCTTATTCGATCAAATTTGGTGTAATTATTTTACTCGTCAGTCTGGTTCCGTTGCACAGCTTGGGTGATTTGTGTTGCATTAGTATTATTGGAGTTCCTTCTTTTAATGACAGTAATGTGGTGGGTTAATGACAAATTGGGAGGCATTTGAATACCCGAGATAGCACGCACTATTATTATTAACTTACTAATTTATGTTAAATTGTGTGGGTATAGAACAAAATATGAAAATATTAAGGCATTGCCATCCCTTTTATTGTTTACTAGCTGTACCCACCGGCTTTGCCCCGTTTAACTTCATAAGTATTCGCATGGCTCAATCACGTTCCGGTTGAAGTTCGTTCGCTACGCTCACTCACCTTTAGGTTGGAGCTCGTTCGCTGCGCTCACTTGTTTTCAGGTTAGCTCGTTCGCTACGCTAACTCGCCTCCAGGTTGATGTTCGTTCGCTACGCTCACTCACCTTTTGATTGCAAATTAGCTGTTGTCATAAATTTTAAAAAGTCATCCCTTTTATTGTTTATAATACTTTGATAAAGGTTTTTATGTTTTAATATTTAACATTGGAGAATTTAAGTGCACAGGTGTGCTGCGATTGGGGTTTAATACATTTGGACTTATTCAAAAGTAAAATAGTTTTCTGTGCTGCACTCTGTAGAAACACTGTGGCACTATTTCAAATCATGACTAATGCTAATACAGAAGGTTGTAATTATTCAAACCTACAAAACAGTTGGTAAAAGTAAACATCTGCTTTTAAATTATATTTATTTGTAAACATTGTAGATCAAAAAGTCTGACATTAGCCCACTTAAAACCCTCTGGGGCAGAGCCCTTTTGACAGATCTGCACCAAACTTCACTCGAACCATCCTTGAAAGATGCTTAATAATGCCTGAAAGTTTCATTACAATCTGTCGAGCGGTTTCGGAGTCCATAACGTATATACATACTCACACACATACATAGTTCTTCTTTTATAGATATAAATAGAACTTGAGAAAGGTTTTTATGTTAAATTTAATAGTGGAGAATTTAAACGTTGGTGAGTGCACAGGTGTGCTGCGATTGAGGTTTAATATATTTGGACTTATCCAAAAGTAAAATAGTTTTCTGTGCTTCATTCTGTGGAAACAGTATGGCACTATTTCAAATCATGACTAATACAGAATGTTGTGATTATTCAAACCTACAAAACAGTTGTTGAAAGTAAATATCTGCTTTTAATTGGCCTAGTTCTTTGTAAACATTGTAGTTCCAAAATTCTGACTTTGGACCCCTTTAACCCTCTGAGGCGGAGCCCTTGTGACGGATCTGCACCAAACTTCACACAAACCATCCTTGAATAATGCCTGAAAGTTTCACTATAATCTGTCAAGCGGTTCCGGAATCCATAGGGAATATACATATATACATACACATTTCCTCTTTTATAGGTATAGATTGACTGATTAAATGAGAGGTTTGTTGCCAGAGAGAGAGAGAGAAGGCATCTGTGCCATTGTTGATTTTGTTTACAGTGTGTCACGAGTATTCTCAGTTTGTATATGACAGTGACTCTGCAGTGAGCCTGATGGCTCATACTTTGTCACCAGCAAAAGAAGACACTTGTGCCATAGTTGCAGTGCCTCTCATTGTTGGTGGTGAGAAAGCTCGGTCGAAGGAATTCCCCCACCAGGTAACTGATAAGCTCATTGTAAAAGTATACTATTCTTAAAATTGTAGTTTAACTTGTTACAGAAAGATCCAGTTTGAATGAATTAAGCACAATCAACTCATTTTATACAGGCAAATCTTCCTATATGGAAGAAGCTAAGGCGGGCCTGGAAGAACCTAGACCTGGAAGTGATTTTATTATTTTTTTTCAGAGGCCAAAGAAACTATTTTTTTTTAATTTTGATATACATATTTTAAAATCTGTGTAGGTATCAAAAATAATATACAGGTGTCCATAAAAAAACTTTCAGGACTTTGGGATATGAATCCTCTTACTAAAAGGAAGAAAACAGTTTATGTGAGGGTATGTCCGAAAATGCATATTTACCCAGATATCCGTCATTTTGTTTTTTATACAAAAATATTTTTATATTTATTTATTTATTTTATTTTATTTTATTTTCCAATGCTACAAAACAGCACATGCCAATTACTCTGTAGCATTAATCATATAAAAATAACTTTAACAGAGTATTACAATATATTAATAAATACAGCAAGGGGAAAAAAGTCCGTCTTCTATGGTGGCAGTCTTATAAAACTTTCACTGAAAATATAAATATAAGAATATAAAATATAAATAAGAATATAAATAAGAATGACAATATAAAATTTAAATATACAGCAACAAGAGAATTTAAATACTAAATAAAAATAATACTGATGGTCATGAATCAAATATAATAAATATGCAATAAATATAACACTGTATAATAAATAAATAGGCAATATTTAGACAAACTATTACTTAACGTTGATAAGAAATTTTGAATTCATTTGACAAACAGACATTTAACGTTGTTGTTATATGTTTTATAACACAAGAACTATTATAAAAAAAATTATTATGTTGGTCCGATTAGAAATTTCAAAATTTTGTAGCCTTTTTAAATTTTATCACAAAATAACCCAAAAATGAATAATTAATTTTACAAAAAAATGTAAAGAATACTTTTTTAGCATTTTCAATTCCTTATCAAACGATTCTATTCATCCAACAATCCACAAGACTGCAGCCTTCGGATCCATGTTGTACTGAGCATACAAAATCCCACTCATCAGCGAGACCAATAGAAAATACCCCTGCCGCAGCAACAGGGCCGTCCCTAAGGTTTGTGGCGCCCGGAGCAAATGTGATCGTTGCGCCCCCTCCCCCCCAGTAAAAGTCGCATTCACATATTTTAATACTATATGTTAATACAAATAGCCGATGTGCGGCGCCCTTTCAGCCGCGGCGCCCGGGGCTACTTGCCCCGGTTGCCCCCCCCCCCTTCGGACGTCCCTGCGCAGCAAACCTGCAGACTAAGCGAATTACCATTTATCTGGCTGGATTTCTACTAAAATATTTCCTAAAAATTGACAGATTTCATTCCTATCTAAATAACATTAGTTTTAGTGAGTACTTAGGTTTGCTGCTACAGGGAAAATATTGAGGCGTGTTTTTTTATTGCAATATTGATAGCTTGGTATGAAATAAACAAACATTTTCTAAACTAAAATAATTAATAAATAAACATTTAAACACGAACACGAGACATTTGTAAACGTCTCGTATTCATGTTTGTGTCGTGTTTAAATGTTTATTTATTATTTTTGTGAAAATTATATGACGCTCTTCGTATGAAGAAAGAAAACTGTCCTTGTACAGCCTGGATGATGGTGTCACACAGACACCGAAACTAGTTGTGCTAACAACAACATTGGATTGCTTAATAGCAGGTATTTAAACTTTTTCTAAAGAATTACTATGTACAGGTATTGTAAGTCATTTTAAGTATAATACAGTAATCCAGAGGCTAAACACTTCTTTGACAATAAAATTACATTACTTGAATTAAAGTTGTAAAAATCCTATCAAAACTAGGTAATTATATCGACCTCCGGACCTCACCCCAAATTCCAAATTCTTTTTTTCGAAATGTCCGAAATTTCACGCTGATTCAAAAAATGGTTGTCGTTTTTCTCGGAAACGACCTGTTTACCCGGGAAATCGGAAAACCCCGGAATTTTTTTACGGAAATTGACATTGTGGGTACTCAAATTAAACGGCAGAGCAAACTGAACTAGAAAATCCAAGAATTTGTAGGTTCAGATGGATATTAAAGGAGATTTGGCCGGAAAAGCGTCGGAAAACGAAAAAAAGAAATCCGCGTAAATCGTTCATGTAGATATTCAAATTAACAGGATAAAACGAGTTGTACAAGAATTTTCAAGATCAAATGGATATTAAAGAAGATATGGCCGGAAAAGCGGTGGAAAATCAAGTTAGCGCCTTGGGTTGGGTTGGGTTATGTTGGCTTATGATAGGTTGGGTTAGGTTAGGTTAAGTTGGGTTGCTAACAATACCCAAGTTATTGATAACCTAACCTAACCTAACCGAACCTAACCTAGCCTAACCCAACCTAACCTATTTTTGGTCATTTTGGCGCTTACTAGATTTTCTGACGCTTTTCCGAGCTGTATTTCCGTTAATATCCATCGGATATTGAAAACTCTTGCATATTCTTGTTCAGCTCTCTCTACCGGTTAATTTAAGTACCCACAATGTCATTTTTCGTTAAAAAATATTTCCGGGGTTTTTCCAATTTTCCGGGTGAATGGATCGTTTCCGAGAAAAACGACAACCTTTTTTGGAATCATAAAAAAAATTGGAAATTTAAAGTTCACATGTTATTCTTATGGAGAATAAATAAACTGTTGTAGTTTACTTGTTTATGGATATATTTTAACCATCAACATTCAATAAATACCCCCGCCGCAGCAAACCTGCAGACTAAGCGAATTTCCATTTGCCTGATTGGATTTACACTAAAATGTCTCCTTAAAAATATCACATTTATTCCCTATTTAAATAACATTAGTTTAGCGAGAGTACCTACTTAGGTTTGCTGCAACAGGGAGGGTAAAAAAGTGTTTTTTTTTTTTTGTAAAATGTTATTAGATTAGTATGAAATGAATGCATTATCCAAATTTGATCAAAATATGATCATAAACAAGCAAACTACAACAGTTTACTTATTCTCCATAAGAATAACATGGGAATCTTAAATTTACAGTTTTTGGGAATTTTCTCCGTAACCATTAGGCACATAATAACACTTCAATATACTAAATTATTTGTTTTTTTAAGCTCTACAAAATGGTTAGGAAAGAAAATGCTAAATTTTAAGTTTTTAGGGTCAAAAATGGGAAAACCCCAATTTTTACCCCATAAAACCCCCCATAAACCCCTGTTACCATAGTCCTATCATGCTGGTTCGCGAACTCGTTCAAATAAACGTAGGTTTACACGTTTGTACCAAATTTCATCAAAATCGGATGATTTTTGCTCGAGTTATCGCGCTAACGGACACATATATAAATATATATATATATGAATTTGAACGGATGGTGTTTTTGGTCTCTAGGGACCTCAAAACGAAAAAGTAATTCGGTCCCGGGACCAGGTCTTACCATGAGTACTACGGTAATAGCTTATTCCCTATATGGGAAACTCGCTAAAAACACACCTAATTATCTTCTCTGTAGCAGAAAACCTACGTTCTCACTCAAATTAATATTATGTTTAATTTTTATATTAAAACTAGCTGGCCCGACAGACGTCGTCCTGTCCTATTGTGGTTTTATGTCACATGCTCGTTCAATTTCAAGATGAGCTTGTTCGCATGGCTCAATCACGCCCTGGTTGAAGTTCGTTCGCTACGCTCACTCACCTTTTGGTTGCAAATTAGCTGTTCTCATAAATTAAAAATAAATATAGTGCTGCACCCTGTTGGTAAACCTATTAACTTTTTAATGCTATTGAACATCACAGAATCAAATTGTTTAGCTGCACCAGCTGTTAAGATTCTTTAATTCCATTTAAATATGAGTACTCATAAGGTTAACATGGGAAACTCCAGAGCCACTGGGGCGGAGCCCTATTGACGGATCTGCACCAAACTTCACACAAACCATCCTTGAATAATGCTTAATAATGCCTAAAAGTTTCATTACAATCTGTCGAGCGGTTTTGGAGTCCATAAAGGACAAACATACAAATATACAAACATACAAATATACAAACATACATTGGATTTTATATATATAGATTATTTTTTATTTGTAATATTTTTAGATAGGAAATAAATCTGACAATTTTTAGGAAATATTTTAGTAGAAATCCAGCCAGGTAAATGGAAATTAGCGTAGTTTGCAGGTTTGCTGAGGCGGGGGTATTATTTTGTTATTTTCTGTGTCAGATATTGTGGTTGCACTTAGGTCAATAAATGATAACTAACTAGACTACTGGAATAATTAACTTTATAAACAGAATTTTTATCTAATTTAACCTTGATATAAAATAAAATAACCGTAGTTTGTGTAAGGTTTGCAATTATTTCTTTTCTGTGATGTTACTAGGCAGTGCTGGGTTATGGAGATCCTTCTGACCCCAAAACCTTATGGGAATGTGGAGGTTCACTAATTAGTGATTTATTTATACTAACTGCTGCACACTGTGCCCTGCCTCACCATCGGTAAGTTGTACCTCTGTATTTGATTTTTTAATGGAATATTCTAGTGTCATCTTATTTTTAATACACGGTAAAAACTAGTAATCAAGTTAAGAAATAATTTGTTACTTTTTGTCTTCAGACCAAGATTTGTCAGATTGGGTATCATCAACCTCAAGCTTGATCTGGATAATGAGCAGATTTATCCTGTGAAAGACATTTTTATCCACCCAAATTACAATAAAATACAAAGAACACATGATATTGCCTTGGTGAGGCTTTCAAGAAATGTGGATTTCACACCGTATGTACGTCCTGCATGCATAGACTACAGTGGAGTAATTGCAGAAAACAGAGCAATAGCTACAGGCTTTGGACTGATTGGCCACGGTTGGTATTTTACACAGCATGACACTATTACTGAAATAGGAAAACTCAGTATCCTCTGTATTACTTGATTTGTTTAATGTTTCTCAAACCAATCTGTTATTTGAAAGTACCTCTAATTAATAAGGTCGCCCAGTGGAAAATGGTACAGTAATTGGAAGTAGAATTACAGAATTTAGCTTCCAAAATTTTCTCAGGATGAAAGCGACCTTCTATTTAACACAAGCATCCAAATATTTGACTACGGTACTCAGCCAATTTTAGAAGTACATTTATGTTATTAAGTTTGTCATATCAATGTTGTACCTTTATCTTCTAATTTACTTAGAAAGATTACCCAACAAGGTAGCTCAGTGGTAATGTAAATGGGCTGATAAGCCAGACATTGCATCCACCTGCACTACAGGAGGTAAATTAAAATCCCATCACCAGCTAAAAGTACACTAATGTTCATCCCTGCTCTTTGGTAAAAATAGAATGGCCCTTGGGAATCAATACCGTTTCATCAAAGAAGTACTTTTGTTGCAGCTGGTGAGCAAAGTATGGATCTTTTAAAAGTCACTTTGGATATTCTTGAAAAAAAGGTTTGTCACCACACTGTGAAAAGAAATATGAAAAAAGGATTATACAATAGTCAAATTTGTGCTGGGTATATAGCTGGTGGCAAGGATACATGTCAGGTTTGTTGTTAGAGGTTTTTATTTATGTTTTTTGGTAACCTTTGATTAAACATACAATATTACTCATGATAAAAAGTTATCTTCCTACTTTTACTTTATGTTAGTGATTCTTTTTCAAAGTCTAAGTATTTAACTAGAATTTTTGATTGGTGAGAAAATGTTTTAAGTTTGCATAAGACATTGGTTTTTAGATGACAAATACTTTTAAGAACTTTAAATACTATAATAATATGTATCATAAATAACTTACAGGAGTATCTATATATATATACTTATACTTATTTAATACGCAAGCAGGGTTTTTGTGACAATTACTTCTCCGAAACTACTGAACCGATTGACATGTTTTTGGTGTCGAGAGAGAGGTGGAAAGAGCGTAAGGTGAAGTTGTGCAGGAAATTTTCTTTTTAGGGAAATAATTTGAGAGTGAGGCCCTGGGGCCCTTTAAAGTTTTGTATTTCTCCATAAGATTAACATGGGAACAAAAATTGTTATGAAACTCCAGCTGTTGTCAGAAATTAAAAGTGAGAAGAAGAACATATGTTGATTGTAAACAGTCAATAAGTTTGCTAATTTAACCCTTCCCGGATGGGCAAAATCGTGACATAGAACGGGAAAAAATTATAAGAAAATTAAAAATTAATTTTCTTTATTTGTGTTTTGTTATACAATTATACATAAAATAAACACAATGGAACACTTCATACTGTCAAAATAATTTTTTACTCGTTTTTAACTATGCGGATATATCTGCCACCCGTCTTTGAAGATATGACCATGATAACGTTAGGCAAAAAATAAAGAACAATATGTAAACAATCAGTAAAGACAACGTAGTGTTGAGCGCATAGATATATAGTTGAGCGTGAAACGTCGAGGGGGTAGGAGAGGTGGGGGGTGCGCGGGAGAGGGGTTGGCGAGGGAGAGGGGTAGGCGCGGGAGAGAGGGGGGAGTGTAGGAGAGAGCTCAGCCATGGAGAGAGCAGGAAAGTGGCGCCTTGGTACCGCGAAACATCTGGTTACTGCTCAAGCACCTGCCAATCTGTCTGAAGAGAAGTCGGATATATCCGATTCCCGTCCGGAACATAAAAAACCATAAGCGGATATATCCGCCTCCCGTCCTTTATCGTCAAAGACTTAGGCGGATATATCCGTGACCCGTCCGGGAAGGGTTAACAGTATGCTACAAACATTTACTGACTTGGTTGAAATGAAGCATTTACCCTTTGAATTTGGGTTCGGGTTGTCGTAAATAATACAATGGAAAAAAGCGAGAGAGCCTGGATAATTTTATATACTACTAGCTGTTGTACCCGTGCTTTGCAACGGGAAGAGGACACAAAAAAGAATCATTTTAATCTTTACCAAAAGACAGAAACTTCAGAGCTGTGACGAGGTATTTATATTATATTATAAAAAAATAAATAATCTTTACTTCTGTTGCATATAATAGTTACACATCTGCCAGGATTTTAGAAACAAAATTCAACTTTTATGGCCTTAATAGAAACGTTTAAGTTATGACTTTTAAATCTGATAAGTAGTGGATACCACCATTTTGGTTTTGATTAATTTTAAATCTTGTGTAGGCTGATATGAGATAAACTTACCAAATCTTTGAAAAAAACGTTTACTTACATGATTTACCTTCATCTCCCTTAATTACATATCTTTTTTCTCAATTTTTGACATTTTAAATTTCAATTTTGACGTTGCAAAAATACTAATTATTAAATTTAAATGAACTGTTTTTTTAATTTACTCTTCTTCATATTAGATCACAAATTCTTCCATCTTGTGGTTTCTTCACTCACAATAAATCATTAGCAAAAAATATCAGCTGTTATAAACTTTAGAAATATTGGTGTGCCTTATCAATAGTATTTCGAAATTTTAAAGAAACTATATCTATACTATAAAAAATGTCAAACAAATAATTAAGCATTAGACAGCAGACAAAACTAATATGATTATCAAAGCATCGAGGACTAAATAATGTAATAGCAAATACAGTATATGTTTCATTGCATCTCTGATTCTACTCTACAAAAATATCAACCCACAACTTATTATACAAAACCAGCAGTTCTTTTAATCAGTTCCATCTTCCATTGACTTTACATTTTCACAACTTACCTTTAAGTAAACATAGTAACATATATTTCATTGATTATAGATACAAAAAACACTATATACTGCTTAGTTTTCCAATGAGAGGAAATAGAGATCATGATTTTTTTATTTTTATTATAATCGTTATTATGGTCAACCTAATGCGGCTAAGAGTAAGGCTATTTGTAGAAAACACTAAAAAACAAGATCAGCTTTTGAAAAATGATAAGATATTTACAAAAAATGTTGATTAGCCTATATGGATCTGTTATGTACATCTTGAGTATTTCCATAATCTTTGAGTCGAATCTTAGTCATCAGCAATTATGACTGATATTTGTTTTAAAATAACTCCTCTAATAGGCCTACTTAGCAATTGCTCGAATTCGAGCATCCGGTACACTAGTATAACCTTAATCCAAAAATATAAAATACAAGTGGTAACAGATACTTTTTACCATTTAATATAATCAGTTTCTAAAACCCTTCACTTCCACATATTTAGTAGCCCCCACCGCACTGGTATTCTGATGATTCAACTATCGAGTTTGGTATTCTTCTCTTTGCACTTGTAGAAGTGTCTTGTGTAACAATTGTTTTAAGGAATAATTTTCTATTGCATAAAAATACCTACACCAACTATTTATTTCTTGAAATTTGTTTTGAATACCTTTTCCTCCCAATACTATTCTGGCTACCATAGTTTTAACTTCTCTGTTCATGAACATGTCTCTCTTCTCACGATGTATTGTTTTAACACTTTAGTTTTGCTTTAGTCTAGTTACAGGAATGGTAGAGGGTAGAAAAAAGTAGTCATAACTACTCTGGTTGGTTTCAAATTTAGTAAGTCTAATTCTACGTTTCAAGCAGTGAAAGATAGAATCGATTAATTACTTGACAAATTTCACACTCTAATGTACAAACAAGAATAAAATTTCAGGGGGATTCTGGTGGTCCATTGCAAACCATCAAGAAGGTTCCATACTGTATGTACAACATCATCGGACTGACATCATTTGGTTCTATGTGTGGCTTTCAACACTCCCCGGCTGTCTACACGAGAGTCTGGAGTTTTGTCCCGTGGATTGAAACTCTTGTGTGGCCAGATGAAAATAACAATTAAGTAACATAGCGTGAAGACAAGTTATGTATCTGGTTTACTGACCAAGAGTGTGTTTCCTACACATGTACATAATAAATAAAATAATTATATACAAAATATTATGGAAATAATTATATACAAATATTATATTTGTACGTTATTGCAATTAGGTACCTACTTCAGTTGTGACATATTTTTCCTATGTGAAAATATATTTATTAAATACCCCCACCTCAGCAAACCTGCAGAGTAAGCAAATTCCCATTTGGCCTGATTGTCTTTTCACTCAAATATTTCCTTAAACATGTTAGATTTACTCCCTTTCACACCTAACACTATGTTGAAAGAATGCTAAGGGTTGCTGCTACAGGGAAGGTAATAATGTGTGTCGTTTTAGTAAAATACTAAAAGCTTGACATGAAATTAAACAATTTGATCGAAATATTTCCATAAACAAGCAAATGGTGGCAGATTACTCATTCTTTATAAGAATAACATGGGAATATAGAATCTACAGTTTTTCTTTTTAAGTTCTACAAAACCTTTAGAAAGTAATACAATTTTGAGGATTAAATTGGGAAATCACATTTTCCCTCCCATATATTTCGTTCCCATTGTCCGATTATGCTGCTTTGCAAACTCTTAAAAAAAACGTAGATTTATAGGTTTGTACCACATTTCAACAAAATCAAACTTTAAAACAAAAACAAATAAATGGTATCAGCATTCTGACACATACTTTCTCCCATAAGTTTGTCAACAACCTTTAACTTATCATGTGTAAGCGGTGAGAGTAAATATACGGAAATGGGATCTGTACAATTTTGTTCAGAATTTAAAGGACTATAACATACTAAATTTTTATCAAAATCGTTCGGGCCATTTTTGAGAAAATCCTATTTTTCCGTTATTTTATGGGGTTTTATGGAAAAATCCCCATTAAAAATCAAAATTTCTAAAAAATGAAAAAAACTATCAAAATGGTAAGGACCATAACATACAATGTTGAATCAAAACCAGATTTTTTTCAATAATCCTATTTTTTGTTATTTTATGGGGTTTTTATGGGAAAATAACATAGTTTACAATAACTTTTGAACCGTAATTTTTACAGAAATGGGATTTGTACCATTTTGTTCAGAATTTAAAGGGCTACAACATACTAAATTTTTAACAAAATCGTTCGGGCCATTTTTGAGAAAATTCTATTTTTCCGGTTTTTTATGGGAAAATTCCCATTAAAAATCAAAATGAAAAAAAAAACGCCTGGAGATACCTTGGATTAGAACCTACATACCAAATTTCATCGAAATCGGACCACAGGTGTAGTCCCTAGCTCTGTACACATCCAGACACACAGACATCACTTCAAAAACCACATTTTTGGGTCCAGGGGGACCCAAAACGAATATATCCACTCAAAATTTAAACTAAAAAATTTTGATGAAAACAATACTTTCTCCATATACTATGGTATAGGGGGAGAAAGTAAAAAACATTATAATATGTCCACTTTTCTATAAATCTATGATTTCAACCATGAGAAGTTGGGTATCTATATATTAATTTGAAACTGTTTTTCTTTGTCATAGCTATTTTGAGAGAACGGCTGGGTGTAGAAACTCGGTAGGGGTGTCTAAAGAAAAGTCTTGGTCTGTAGATGAGCCATCAAAAGAGAAACATGGTGAATTCCCTTGGGGCTCTGCCCCAGTGGCCTTTAAATTCCCATCCCATGTTATTCTTATGGAGGAAAACGGGGTTTTTGTCACAGCTAATTTGAGAGAACGGCTGGGCGTAGAAACTTGGTAGGGGTCTCTAAAGAAAGGTCTTGGTCTGTAGATGAGTTATCAAAAGACGAATGAGGTAAATTCCCTTGGGGCTCTGCCCCAGAAACCTTTAAAGTTGCCTCTTCAGATTTGTTTACATTACGACCATATGCATAATTCTACACTACTTTTTAATGAAACAGCTGTTAATATTTAAATTGTGATTTATTGAATTTGTCAAAATGAAGTACAGTATTTGCAATGGGTGTTTCTGATTTAAAAATTGATTTTCTTCTGCATCGTGTCATGTTTTGAAATATAATGTTCTACTACCAAATCAGTGGAAAATCCTAATATCACAGTAACTCTTAAAATTATTTCTTTTGGAGTTAACTTATATCTACTGTACATATTGGTTTCTGCTTTTTTTACCACTTCTTGGAGATTGTACGTAGGTGATATTCGTTGGCATATTGCATCTATAGACGAAACTTGGGTTGTGGAAAAGAGCGAGAAATCCTGGACAATTTGATATAGGCTAGAAATAAAACTGAATTAACACTGTTTTACATTTCTTGAGTAATCATTGAAATAACCGATTTGCAAACAATGGAAACATAGAAAAAGTCATAGAACACAACCAAGTAGAAGAAATAGAAATAATGTTTTTTTTTTTTCATTTATAATCGTTATCATAGACAACCTAATGCGGCTATAAGAGGGAAACATTTGTAGAAAACACTAAAAAAACAAGATTAGCTTTTTAAAAAAAGATGAGATATTTATAAAAGATTTTGATTATATCTAACTGTTGTGTTGATTGTGAGTATTTCCATAATATTTGAGTCGCCTGTAATGCTTCGCAATTGCTCGAATTCGAGCAACAGGTACACTAGTCCATATATTAATTTGAAACTGTTTTTCTTTGTCATAGCTATTTTGAGAGAACGGCTAGGTGTAGGAACTCGTTAGAGGTGTCTAAAGAAAGGTCTTGGTCTGTAGATGAGCCATCAAAAGAGAAACATGGTGAATTCCCTTGGGGCTCTGCCCCAGTGGCCTTTAAATTCCCATCCCATGTTATTCTTGAGGAGAAAAATGGGGTTTTTGTCACAGCTAATTTGAGAGAACGGCTGGGCGTAGAAACTTGGTAGGGGTCTCTAATGAAAGGTCTTGGTCTGTAGATGAGCCATCAAAAGAGGAACGAGGTAAATTCCCTTGGGGCTCTGCCCCAGAAGCCTTTAAAGTTGCCTCTTCAGATTTGTTTACATTACGACCATATGCATAATTCTACACTACTTTTTAATGAAACAGCTGTTAATATTTAAATTGTGATTTATTGAATTTGTCAAAATGAAGTACAGTAATTGCAATGGGTTTTTCTGATTTTAAATTGGATTTTCTTCTGCATCGTGTCATGTTTTGCAATATTTAAATTGTGATTTATTGAATTTGTCAAAATGAAGTACAGTATTTGCAATGGGTTTTTCTGATTTTAAATTGGATTTTCTTCTGCATCGTGTCATGTTTTGCAATTACCAAATCAGTGGAAAATCCTAATATCACAGTAACTCTTAAAATTATTTCTTTTGGAGTTAACTTATATCTATTGAATGGGTTGGTTTCTGCCTTTTTTACCACTTCTTGGAGATTGTACGTAGGTGATATTCGTTGGCATATTGCATCTGTAGACGAAACTTGTGTTGGTGTAATTATTACAATGGAAAAGAGCGAGAAATCCTGGACAATTGGATATAGGCTGAAAATAAAACTGAATTAACACTGTTCTACATTTCTTGAGCAATCATTGAAATAATCGATTTGCAAACAATGGAAACATAGAAAAAGTCATAGAACACAACCAAGTAGAAGAAATAGAAATAATTTTTTTTTCACTTATAATCGTTGTCATAGACAACCTAATGCGGCTATGAAAGGGAAAAATTTGTAGAAAACACTAAAAAAACAAGATAAGCTTTTTGAAAAAAGATAAGATATTTACAAAAGATTTTGATTATACAGTAACTAACTGTTGTGTAGATCGTGAGTATTTCCATAATCTTTGAGTCGCCTGTTTGCTTCGCAATTGTTCGAATTTGAGCAACAGGTACACTAGTGGTATTTAAATTAAAATATGACCACAAGTAACAGAATATAGACATTTATTAACACAGAAGGAACACATTAAATCAGTTCATAACAAGCATGGAAAATATACTCTATCTTATAATAACACTTAACAACTACTGTACACTTTTATACTTATGCTGGAAATTCATTACCTACAATGATATCATAAAATCTCTAACAGGTTCTGCAATGTTATTGTCAGGTAATATATTTGTTAAGGCACCTTGAAAGTGCACATTGGTTCGGGCATTGCTTATTAACAATTGTTATTAGAACACTTCTTCAAAAAATTGGAAGCTAGTTTACTTTTATGGATGGATTAGTTAGAAAGTGGCCAATTTTATCATTAAGGTCACACAGGTATTAACCTAACAAATCCAACAATAGAAGTGTTTTATTTTAAGTAGCAATTAATTACTGTCCTATAAAGTATTGTTAGGATGTTTTTATAAACACAAATACATACACAACCCTTTTGACTTCAATTTTAGACAATTCAATTTCCTTAGAAAATGGTTACTTTTTAGTAAAAGAATATTGTAAAATCCTATACCACAGGTTTTTAAAAATACCCCTGCCGCAGCAAACCTGCCGACTATGCAAATTTCCATTTGTCTGAAGTGGTATTCGATTAAATCTATATAAATAACATTTGGTTTAACGAGTACCTAGGTTTGATGCTACAAGGAAACTAATAAAGTGTGTTTTTTAGTAAAATACTAGGGTTGCTTTCAGAGAGGTGAAAGCCAGTTGAGCGGAACAAACGTGATTTGTATAAGTAATTAAATGTAAAAAGGTCAATAGATGTACTAATGCTGGTTTTATTGATTAAAATTATAATAATTCAAATTTGTTTTTACTACATCTTGTTATTCAGATACCTCTTCCAGAAGTGCATTATGGTAGTTTTGGCCATGAAAATATTACAGTAGTTGGAATCTGATATTAACATCCAAAAAGTAAAGTATAAAAAAGAGAAAGGAAATTTAACATTCAAATGCAACTGTAGCCTACAACAAAAAAACATTGGGCTACATTTTTCACCCTTACAATCGGTTAAAGTATTTAAGTATAAAAAAAACAGTAACTATAAAAAAACGAGTATTAAAGTATAACAACAGGAGGGGAAATTTGACATTTAAATTCAACCGTGCAACATAAAATGGCTGAAATGTAGGCCTAAACATAAGTAATAAGTAAACATCGCATTCAGCTGATTTAAGTGAAAACAGAA